GGATTTTCACTCATGTTGGCACGGAACCTTAAAACAGCACATAATTGAAAATAACTAATATTGTCATATGCTGCCTGGGAACAATATGATAAGACTACAATATTTAAGCATTATACATGGGGTTTTTTGAATTATGAACTGCCTGGAAATACAATAAAAGAAGCGTGTAGTCCCATAGCTGTAAGGCCTTGAATCTATCCTAACAACCTTCAAAGACCTTTCTTCTAAACTCTTATTTCTAATTTGACAGAAGAGGGGAAAAATAATGAAATATTTGGAGAGTATTCATGTACATAGCATTTATTTTAAATTAAAATTTAATTACTAAATCAAATGTTTGCCTTGGCTCCATCCATTTCTTTGTCCCAGCCTAGTAAAGGTTAGTCTGGAGGTTGAGCTTCCAACATATCATTCAAGGAAGGGGAAAACAACAACAACCCTTGCATATTTTGGTCCTAGAGCAGTAATTCTAAAATGTTTCTTTGATACATATCACTGTGTTAATAGCTTTAGAGGACCATTACATACGCTAGAGACTGATAATATTGTGTTTGAGGGCATAACTACTCCCTCAGTAGTATCCAAAATCAAACAAAAATCAATGGAATTTGTTTTAAAAGAAAAACCATTGCAGTGCTGTGACATTGCCATTATACAATGTTTCTGCCTGATGTCTTGTGAAATTTTGGATGAGAATGCCAAACTCTTTCAAAATTTCGTGATCTAGGACATTTTGGCTATTGTGACATTTTATTTTATTTATTTTCTTTTTGTCTATGCCAGGGGATTATTTGTAGCATGGTTGTGAATCACCAGTGAACCCCAGTCCACAGGTTAAAAACCTCTGACCTGGAGGTTAAAACAACACAAATAAGCTCCTGCAGGATAAAAGATGTGATTTCAGAAGCTGGCTCTTTCATGGCTTATGTTTGCTGCATCCAACATTTTTCAGGGATCTGCCCCAGACTCCAAATGGATATTAAGACAGTCTGATAGCATTTTGAAAAAAAGGATAAAAATCTTTGTCTTCTGGCAAAGCGTGTCACCTCCCGTTAATTCAGGCTTTTAAAGAGGCAGCATTTCTCCATTCCCACTAAACAATTTCAGATACTTGATCTGTTTCATCACTTTACTGTGGACCTGTAGATAAACAAATCAAAATCTGGACAGTGCATAAAAAGTGTACCACACTGGAGCTTTAGTAAGAAATCAATATTTCAGTAAATGTCATAGTGAATGAATAGCCCAACAATCCCTGCATTGTGAAAATGATGGGAATTGGCAAAAGCAGGGCAAGGGGCACACATATAAACAAGGAGCAGACAGGACAATATTCTAGCTGCAACAAAAGCAATTTTAATGATCCAGACTGGGCATTAGTCAATAAAATGCACTTATTGTCCTCATCCCGTCCATTCACACATTGCACATATTTGTTGTGCTTTCAACTTCTGTCTCCTGTACTCTCACTTTCAAGATTCAGAGTAATGAATTATATCACAAACTATATAGCTTATGGATAAGTAAGAAAAGAGAGCAAAACTGAGATGAAAGTGTGATCTGTGCTTTTAGTGTTACTGGTAAATTAAAATTAGGGAGATTTTTTTTTATCTCAGTAACTTTCAGAGATCACATGCCAGTAATAGATTAGTCAAGCCATGTACTTCCATCACCCAAATGCTGTTCTGGATGTACAGTATCTCTCCAGAGGTGCCCAAGGGGTATGGTAGAAGAAGGCAAGATGGTAACCATGACAGTGTGGTTGAAGCTCTATCTGTTTACGCATGTCACCTTTTTTGACCATTCCCTACTTATTTTGACTTTTTCTTTGGCTTCCACCTCCTTTCCTCTGACCAGTGCTATTCTTTTCAACACATTCATTTGTACCAACATATCTGAAATAGTTGTGAAAAGAGTGAGGACAGAACCACCAGGAAATAAAGCCTATGGATATTAGTGGGATTTTTAAATCCATACTCTATGCTGCAGTAATTTGTGTGCTACAATAGGGGTAACAGACTTAATTAGTGGAATTTGTTTGCTTTGTCTTGAATTTTTAGATTCAGCAAAAATCTAACAAAAGATTCTCAACTCAGAGATACACTTAGAATTAAAGAATGTTCATTTGATCCTGCTCTGAATTTATGACCCCCCCCCATACTAGAACTGAGTTAAAATCCTTTCACACTATAGTGTTCTCCTGGACTTTTCTGTAAGATTATTCCAAGGAGTATTCATTACCCCAAGTAATAGTCTTCATTTCAGCAGCCCAAGGGATGCTTATGAAAGAACATGCAGGTATTGTTTTAGAGAAGGGTTTACCAGTCTAAATTTTACTTTAAGCAACATTAATCTTGCATAGTTTAGTGTTGTGTGCCAGTTGTGCCTTCTCCTGGATCAAGGGTCACTGCTCACTGTCACTCATGTCCTAATCATCTCCCAAGTGGATTACTGTAATGCTCTCTACATGGAGCTGCCCTTGAATAGTATCCAGAAGCTTTACTTGGTGCCAAATGCGGCTGTACTGTTGTTATGTGCTCCCCTAGAATGACAGATGTTTGCTCTACAAGCTGCATTGCTTGCCAGTTTGCTTCTGGGTCCAATTCAAGGTGCTGGTTTTAATCTTTAAAGCATTTCATGGTATGGGACACTGGCTCTCTCCTACCCCATCAGATTTGGCAGAGAAGGCATGTTCTGGGTCCCATCTCTTAGGGAACTAGGTGGGTTTCAGGAGGACTTCTTCCCTGTAGCTCCTGCCTTATGGAATCTTTTCCTTCCCAGACATGAGGTTATCTCCATCCTTGATAATGTTCCTGAAATTTTTCAAGACTTGGCTAGGTCATTAGGCTTGGGGATCACAGGGGACCAATGAGACTTTGAGTTGGCTCCTTTACTGTGGCTAATACTTATCTTCTCTTGTGCCTTGTCCTTTTTTATATTTTTAATCATGATGTTTTTATATATTATTGTTTTTTTAAGTCAGTGTTGTACACAGCATAGCCACATTTTGAACCATATAAATTTTATAAATAAAGACATAAATAAATCTTGCAGAATAATTGTGCAGGCAATCCAATATATTTGAGGGCTCAAACTGGGAATGAGGAGATTTGCTCAAAACTCCCCAGCAACCTCTATGTTCCCTTTGATTTCTTACTCAAAGGACTGGACCCTTGGCATATTCAGAAAAAAAAGTTTCCACTGTATTTAGTTGAGTTTATTTTGAAATGTGGAAACTTATTCTCACTGTAGGAGTCTTTACTTTCCTGAAAATAAAATAAAGGCATATGAGGAAACTGACTGGAAAAACATATTCATAAGAAAATATGCATTCCTCTTTCTCACTTCAAACTGAGTATACATTTTGCTCTGATATCAGAGAGTAAAATATCAATTTGCATTTTTCAAAAAGTGTAGCTCTGCATAAATGAAAAAAAAAACATTCTGCATGTGCGTCAGATATTTGCATTGAAGCGTTGCTATTCACTACTATGCCAATAAATACATGCAATTTTCCTAATGCTTTTGTGAAATAAACTGCTAAATATTCAATTTTTCATAAAGTGACTTGGTGTACATGTTTATAAATTATTTAATATGTGTTGTATATGTTTTGATACAAGTTTTTCATTGAGTAGGTGTATTCTCTTCACTAATAGTTTAAGATTTGTATTTTAGTTTCAGAAGAGTTCTTTGTTGTAGAAAAGTTGCAAACCTAAAAAAAAAAAGTTGTTGTTCAAGATCAAGAAACTTTTCTTAGTACTGTAGATAAAAATCCCCTTGAGTTGAACTGCCCTCCTGGAGAATATATGGCAATATCCAGACAAGTTTTCTTTTTGGCAGCAGTACAGAAGAGGTGTGCCATTGTCTTCATCAAAAACATTTTTTTTTTAATTTCACCATCTAGCTATAGCCTTGGAGTCTCTGGGCTCTATTGACTAGACTAGATGCTGCCTGGTTTTGGAGCTAGAAAAAGTCAGACAGATGGTGCCACCAATTGTGACTTCGAGCTTCTCTTACCATGAAGGAAGGAAACCAAATGCAATTGGTGGGCTAGCTAGACAACTTTCACATATGTTCCCTTCCCCTTCACTCTTTCTTTGGCTTAAGCCAATGTTTCTCAACCTTGGCCACTTTAACCAGTGTGGACTTCAACTCCCAAAATTCCCCAGCCATGATGGATTTTTCTACACAGATTTAAAGGTGTATAGAAAAGTTCAGAGGAACCAGGAGAATCAGGAGCAATGTAGTTTCCCCGAAGGCTGCTATAATTGAGCAATTTTAGGACGAAACTCCGCCCTTTTTGCAATTCTGAATTGGGTCTGGTCTTATCTTTCTTTCCGTGTAATGGGCTGTCATATCAGCTGTTTAAGGTCTTGTGATTCCTCTGCAGAGAGAAATAATGAGAATGGAGTTACCATTTTTTCTTCTTCTGCGAAAAATGCGTCATTTAATTAATCCCTACCCGGGTAAATCCCTAGGCATGCCTGGCACAGCTTTCCCATCAGTTTGGTGTGATATGGGTACGATAGCTCAAAACACCCAGCGGAAACTACAGCCACCTTCCGATGCTAGCGCCCTCTAGGTGCGTTGGAACTACAATTCCCAGGCTTCCTTGCAAACATGCGGCCTGCGTACGCAAAGGATTCTAGGAATTGTAGTCGCAATGGACTGCGTTAACTCGCTCCTGCAGGCCAAAGTAGCTTAATGAATCGCTTTATGCTCGTGAATCAATTGATCCATTTTACGGGAACCGATTCTGTCGGATTATTTTACAGTGCAATTCAGAGAGGCGAAAAAGTTCAGAAGTCTTGAGTTCAATACAATCCCACGTACCGTGAAGATGCATTTTAAAGGTGTTAAGTATTGCAAACTTGCAAAAAAAAAAGAAAAAGGTACTCAACTTATTTTCAAACCAGAACCGACTCTTATTTCTAAACTCTGCACACCCACTCTGGAGAGCCAACCCACGAAAGGTGGAGCTGTTAGGGGGGTGGTACAAAGCGATTGGGTTAGAAAGCGAGTGGCGGCAGTGAGTGCTGTGCTTTCTGAAACCGCAACTGCTCCTGGGCCCGTCGCAATTGCAAAGTAATCGCTAGCAGAGAAAGGCGATCTGTTTCGGGGCCTCCCCCGATCGGCGCATCGATGAGCTGCGAGGTATGCCAACTTCGCTGTCGGGTCGGCCCGGTGGTCGTAGCCGGAGTGCGCGACTTTTTTTCCTGCCAGGTACCCCGCAGGGCTAAGTAAGCACCGAGAAAGGCGCCGACCTGCAGAAGCTTCCGGAGCCCCAGTTTGTCCAGAAGCCACGCCCCCCTGTGGGGAACGAGAGAGACATCACTGGGTCCCCATTGAGGGTCGGGCGTCCTGCGCACGATTCCTTGCTCACACACGATCAGGTGTGCAACGTGTGTCCCGGCTTTTCCCTGAAATGACTTTGGATCGAGCCTATGAAGCTAAGCAAACTCTTATCTCGCAACTACCCCAGCTCCCATAACTCCGGCCTTGAGGATGATGGGCGCTTGCAGTTCAATATGCAGTGGTCTCCAAACGATCGTGTATCCTATTAATAAAAATGCCGAGCATGCATTTTTAATACACGATTTCTTATAAATTATATACCTGTACCACTGTACTAATATGTAACTTTTTACCCATATGCGTATAGAGAGTATAGTTTGTGGATTGAGTAGCTTTTTGAATTAGGTAAATAACAGGTGTTGGGTAAATAACAGGCATTCTAATATTTCTTGTACACCCCATTTGGAGGCCACTGACCATTGTCTGCCTGCATTTTGAAATGTTGAACTACCCATGGATTTATTTCATAAGCGCTTGTAATTCTGAGCAGTTTTCTTTTTACTCATTATTCTAGTTTTTAATGCTGATAATTACAGTCCTTGGTGTCGCTGATTCTAATAGAACTGTGGAGTTTTTAAAAATAATTTTATCTCTACTGGGGTTTAATGAATTTGGTGGTGCTAGAAGTCCATTAAATTTTGTTAGATTTTCTTTTAAGGTTATTACATTTTCTGAAGTTACCTACATGTCATTTGATAATTCTGTTGAACCTGGAGGCTTTGATGAAAAAACCAACTTGAACATTTACACCTCTAATCTCTAGAGAGCCTTTAAAACTTGTTTGACAACTCTCCTGTGTATCCATCCAGGATGAACTGCATTTTTTTTGGGAGTAATTTTACTTCTTCCTAGGGTTGTAATACTTCTACAGCAAAGAGGGGACTTCAGGTGTACTTCAGCTTCTTTGCCTTTGATTAGTTGGGCTGATGCAGTATTTGGAAGATTCCCCTCTCCTGCTGTGGGATATCAATGATACGTTAAATCGTTAAATCGGAGGTACCCATCAGGAGAAGGTAAATGATTATGATTGCCAACCTGGCTTTTTAACCTCCCTGCCTTAAGTTGAACGGAAACAGGATAATTGCAAATTGAGTTTTGAAATGATTTGGTTTCTATGAGGCTGAGATAAGGATCAGTATAGAACACAGGTTTAAATACTTCCTTCTCGTCACTGTCAGTGCATCAAAGTAGTCCATAACCACCAAAACCATGAATATCAACACAGCCTTTATTGTAAGATTACATTAAGGGAATCTTGCAGGTCTGAAAGCACTTCCCCCACCCTTGCCTTTACTTTCCAGGGACCTAGGGAGGAATCCTTCTGAGATGCTGTCTCCATTCCCATTCTTCTCTAACTGCTGCTTAGACTGGAGGTCCTTCTCCTGCCTCCCAAGTCATTCTCACAGCCCACTACAATCATCTCTACGGCCTAAAAGTCTTTGAAATTTTTGCTTCCATTTTTGGGTGATTGCACTTTTTGTTGTTGTTGAGAATATTCATTTCTTTTTTTAATTTGTTGCGACCAGATACCTTTTACAATGTACATACTTTTTATTCTCCTTGTATTTCAGAAACCTGTTCCTTGTAGGTTTTGAATGTTTCCATTACTTTAACTTACATGCCATTCCAAATCTAAAGCTTTAATGTGTTGATTTAATTTTAGTTACAGTGTAATTCTTAAAATGGGGCTAAATTTTACATGTTTCTACTTGCTGCTTGAAACAGGTCACTGTCCTGTATTTTGCCAGAAGTGCTGAATTAGCAGGGCTGCGTACAGAGACCATTTCTGTGCCCCAACAGATAACCTCACTGCAGCTGTGGAGAGAAATTGTCAAGAGACATTCCAGGTATGGTGACTTGTACCAGTAAACAATGCTTTTCTCATGCTCTTACTGTGCAAGGCTGTGCATTTGTGCTCCAGATTATACACTTCATTGCAACCTTAATGTCATGACACCCCATCAAGTAAAAAAGAACAAAAATGACATATTCAGCCAACCACATCAAAAAGATACACAGACACACTCCACATGCAGCTCCAGCCAATCTGAAAGAATAGTCAGCCATCAGGATCGGAACCTCATTCCTGATGGTTGAGGTGGATGCCATAACACAAAAGCCACACTTCTGGCTCACAAGCCTCAAGGATGACACTGTCTAGTTGAAGGGACCCAAAGTGTGCTGACCTTGTCAGCTTAGACTGACCAGGCAAACATGATGGGAGATAGACAGCCACTCAAATTGGAACAGGTCCTGTGTCCTGTAGAGTTCCATAGATAATAACAGCCTCGAATGCACAAGAGGCAAACTGGCAGACAATGCGGCCTCACTGAGAAAGTTGTAGTATGAGCTACAAAGTTGTAGTATATTATTCCTTGCACCACTGCATTCTGGACCAATTGAAGCTTAAGAGGTCTTCAAGGGCAGCCCTATCTAGAGTGCATTTCAGAAATAGAGCTGTGAGTTGACAAGGGCACGAGTAACTGTCTCAAGTTCTTCCTGATCCAGGAAATGGCACAGTTGGTACACTGGATAAAGTTAAGACACAAAACCCCGAGTGACCAGTGACATACCCCTACCTCATAACTTTCTACATAGAATTGTTCAAATAATAGAAAAAAAATTAAAAAAAGAAATTTGGAATATTGTCAATCACCAAGTGGTACTTTTGTCTGGATGCTAAATGGACTCTGTAAGTTTTCTGACAAAAGTGAGGGAAAGAAAGTCCTGTCTCTTTGAAATAGAAAACTGATCAAGGAAAGGAGGAAGTGAGCTGAGATTGTCTGGAACACTCTGCAAAAGAGGGAGCTAGAAGAAATAGCAAGTGATAGTCTTTTACGAATGAAGCTGGATATACGTATCCCAGGATAATGTTGCAGGATCCAATCTGGATGGGTCACCAGTACTGGAGGCTTTGTCTTCTAAGCTATCTGACCCATGCTGGAACCCATATTCAGGGAACTTCTCTCTAGCAGAGTGTGTTCCTTGGACTATGTGTGGTGTTTATATGGTGCTTCTGTTGTATATGGCCTTTTAGATGTTGATTGAGGTGTTGTTGGCTGGCTATTAAGTCGTTGGCTGTTGTTTGCTTGTGCCGCCAAGCCCTCGTTTTCCTAAGCACTTGATAAGCTGGTGGTAAATTAGCACTCCTGTTGACTGATGAGGGCCCATTTCTCAGACTTCAATCACTTCCCTGGCACCATATAAACACCACACAGAACAGCCCAAAGCAAACACTCTGCTAGAGAGAAGTTCCCAGAGGATGGGCTTCAGCATGAGTCTGAAAGCTCTGAAGACAAAGTCTCTAGTCCCAGTGACTGATTCAGATTGGACTCTGTAAGAGTATTTTAAATCAGAGGTTGTGCCTGTTTTTATTTAATCTGGTAGCCTTTCGGGGATGGATGTGCATTTTGTGAGAATCCTCACAATTGTTCTATCCCAGCCTATGGCTGTCCTTGTTAAAGGCACAAGGACAAAACTCCTGTTGAGAAAATAGGTTGGAGACTCAAAAGAAAACAAACCCCTTTTAATATGGGTAACAAACCTGCCAAATACTCCAGAAACAAAAGCAGCAAAACACAATCCAAATGGAGGAAATTGTCCACACGAAACACAATGCAAAACAGAAAAGTAGTCACCGGCAATACTAACAGAACATGATCCCATGAAGTACTTTGCAATGGTTGCCTTCAGCAACCAGCACTGCCAACACCTTCCCTTTTTATAAAGCAGTCCCAAGGCGTTGCCTCTCAGTGCCTTCTCCTCCCCCCCGGAGTTGTCGTATTGACTGCTGCTGATCTGCTCTCGCTAATTGCCTGCGTCTATGAGCATCAATCACGTCCATCAGGTGTGAATTCTCCAAGTCTGACTCATTCTCCCCGCACATCTGAGCTTCATCCATAGTACGACTGGAGGGGCCAGGCTCTTCATCAGACCGTGAGTCTTGTAATTCATCAGAGCCTCCCTCTGACCCTGATGGCCCTCCAAATGCCTCCTCCACCTCCTCCTCAGATTCCCCAGACTCAGCTGTTGGGAACACCGGCTGGCATTGAATCACGACACAATATGTTGGGCAGAATCCAATTCAAAGATTGGATCAGGGATCTATTGCAGAAGCAGATCAATGATCAATTTTTATCTTTATATATTTCCTTCAGTCTTGCCGATATCGAAGATCAAGTTATCTTTGCCATTTGTCAGGAGTACGTGCCCCTTGGGGACCAGCAGTTCATCCTTCACACAGGGGACGAAGTTGCCATCATCCCACCTCTTAGTGGAGGTTAGCTCTAGGAAGATACAGGTAGGTGTTGATGTTTTGCTAAAATATCGAATCTGGAAATTTGATGGTGATGAGGACAATGATGATGGACAAGGAGGAGAAAGAGAAGTACCAAGCTGATATTTCTCTAGAGTGCTTTGAGTTTGGCCTCTATAACATGCTTCAAAGCAAGAAAAATCTTCTTGCATTCCTTTCAAGCAGTCATGTCTTTTCCTGCATGGTCTGATATACCTTTTGGACATCAGTTCTGATGTGCTGCATAGATGAACCAGTAACATTATAATTACTTTTAATGAAAAGTATATATTAATGGAGAATAGCTTAAATCAGCATTCCTCAGTCCCCAACTGATCATGGCTATGGCTCCCAGAATTTCCAGACATCATTGGCCATATTATCTAGAGAGGATGGGAGGGAAAGCACACTGAAGGACTCCAGATTGGACAATGGACAGAAATATTTAGAAAATAATTTGTTTTTTTGCTATTCATGAAAACAATCTGTAGCTTTTCAGGTTTCTACATGTGTGAATGTGGTGGACCCAGGAGAATGCCTACGCCCTTTTTAAAGGGGAATGTAACTTCTGAAATATATTTCCTAAAAATTAAAATCCAGCTCTGGAATCAGAAGAAACCGCCCATCTTGTCTGATTTCAGCCATCAAGCTCACTCATTAAACTAGTGGGCTTAATTTTTACTTATGGTCCATTCTTAGTTCAAAATTATCTTGAAATTCTGGGGGAGATTAAATATATAACTGAGTATCAACATTGCTCCAAACTGGCAAGTGATACTTCCCTGCAGTTTTGTATGTATAATAAATACCATCAGTGATGAACCAGAATTTTATTGAGATCTCCAAGAGCTCAAGCAGAAATCTTCCAGTATTAGTTTCCACTACCGGAGCATCGAAAAATAGGAAGGGAAAAAAGCAGGTCCTCCAGTTTCCTACTCCCCCTGCAGTTACATCACAAAGCTGCTGAGAGATCCAAAGCCATCAATAGAGTCGTGCTGTCTCTGCATTCTTCTCAGCACAAAACATCCATCAGGCCAAACAAGGCAATGATGGATCCTGGTCTGAGGGGTTCTTGATGTTCTCTGAGCTTGGTTTTTTTCTTGCAGATCATTCATTTCCCAAACTAGGTAACATCATCAGTGCTAGTGACTGCAAGAAAACAACCAAGCTCAGAGAGCACCAAGGACCCCCTCATTTCAATCCTGCGCTACAAATATTCTCCTTTATTGGGATCCTGGTCTGAACCCAAACGAGAAAGGATCCATAGAATTCATTTGTCAAGAGGCTATGATATTCCTTTGAAGAAAGAATAGGAATTAATTAATTTAATCTAATTAAGTTAAATAATTAAAGTACTGGCTAAGACACCAGACCAGAAACCAGGAGAATGAGTTCTAGTCCTGCTTTAGGCATGAAATTAGTATTACTTATGTTTGCTGTCTTGAATTATTCATGAAAATAATAAAGGTGGGATGAAAATGGAGAATTAATAAATAGGGCAATTAAACCTATTAATCTGGCTCATGATCTGAGCTGTAATTTAATCTCTACAGCCAGGCAAGGATCAACTTGCAAATTAATCATTGTTTCACCGTTTACTTCTAGAGAAATAATGAGTGAAATTGAGGATGAACCCAAGGATGTGATTCAGTTGAAGTCTGAGAAGCTCTCATTAGACGAAGTAGCAGCACTGGTCATTTCTCCCTGTTGTGGAGCTGCATCTTTCTTTGTAGGTAGGTCTGACACATAAAACTCTTAATCAGAGCTGAACACACAGATTTATTTAAAAAAAACCGCATCACTAGTATTTGGAGATTGAACATTAGATGAACAGTTATAGGAGCCAATGGAACAAAGGCTAACATAGAACAAGCTTAGAACAAGGAAAAAGCATCCAAGCATCTCAAAAAAAGTTCTAAAACTTCAGGATTGGAATCATTTACAGAGAAAGAAAATGGAACCTCTAGTTTTGCCTGCTCAGGATTGTCCCTATTAGGAAAGCCTGGAGCCTTTAGGGCAGTGATTCTCAACCTGTGGGTCGGGACCCCATTTGGGGTCGAACGACCATTTCACGGGGGTTGCCAAACAATGCAATCTGCCATTTCCCCCCCTTTTCCTTAGCCGTGCTACTCCCTTTTATTCTATTGGCTTTTGAAAGCCAATAGAATAGACTCTCTTGAATAGAGTCTAATTCTACTGGCTTTCAAAAGACAATAGGAATTGTCCAGACTGTTTCTGCCCTGCTGAGCCCGCCAAAAGTCCCATTCTGCAAACAGTGCTGCAGCAGTTGAGTAGTCCTCAACTTACGACCGGTTGAGTAGTCCTCGACTTACGACCGGTTGGGGGTCGCGGCATTAAAAAGGTTGAGAACCACTGCTTTAGGGCATCTATATACACAAAACAAGTCTTGATGCTGCACATGGATTATGTGCTTTTGAGGGCTTCACCTTGTGGCTCTGACCATATGGTTGGTTTGAAAGATTTCAGATGACACATAGAGCATCTTATTTGTCCCCTTGAAAAGAATGGAGATTTCAGCCTGCACAGTTGTATTAGTACAGTTTGCATGCCTGAACTAATTTCAACGGCTTGAGTTATTTTTTTAAGGGGGGAGGATTGCTACATTTACAGCAGTGTGCTGTGTCCCTAAAATAAAGATATGGAAGACTTATTTGAGAAGGGCTTGTACTAATTTCAGTTTTCTGATGAGTCCTTGAAAATTCACACAATATATGAAAACATTGAAGTGGACCACATTTAGCTTAGTATTGCCCCATCCAGTCTTTTTAATAAATATATATTATATATAATTCATTTATTAATAAATATTGGAAATTAAATTGAAACCTTTTTGTATATATAGAGCAAGTTTGCCATTGCTGAGCTTGGCCCCTTTTAATAACTGGCGTTATTGCAGGATGCATGCACCATTAGGGAAACTGGGGCTAAACCCTAATGTGGTTGAGAGATGTGTGAACTCATTGTAGGTCTGTAGCCCATGGCTAAGTATTATGCAGAAACCAGCTTATTGGGGGCTCATTCAAAGCATAGGCAAAACCATGCTTAGCATAAAAAGAAATATTCCCATTGATAAAGCTCTTAAACTTAGCTTTCTGTCAAGCTAAATTCTCACTAGCTCAGAATGTTGGTTAAGTGTTGATGTTTTGTTTCAGGCACTACAAGGAATAACTTTGAAGGGAGAAAAGTCATACAATTAGAATATGAAGCCTACACAGCTATGGCAGAAGGTGAAGCAAAGAAAATATGCAAAGATATTCGATTAAAATGGCCTTCTGTGAAGCATATAGCAATACATCATCGACTTGGGTAAATACAGTCAAAGAATGTGCTCTCCCTGTTTTATTTAATTAAGATTTTGTGAATTGGATAGAGACAGGTTTATGGGCAAGCATCTGAGCCTCCTTTCTGAATGAGGCCATATAGAGAAAGTTGCCTCATAGCAAGCTAAACTTTGTCTTACTCTTACTGCAGCTCTCAGACAGACATTATGTTCACATTTCATGCTTGATTCTTCATACAAATTAAGGGTTAAATCTGAAGGTTTAGTCTCTGGACTCTGATCCTTGTTGCTCTGAACATTGGCAATGATACAGCTTGTTATCATATTTAGACTTTCTTATGTTGTGGTTCAAGGGAGAAAAAAATTGAAAGGATAAATACTCTGGAACGAATGTACAATGTATAGATGAATTGTAAGCTAAATTTGAGCACTGTTTTATGCTCACTTTTTAAATGGCATCTCTTCTGTCCTTTCAAGTGCATCACTTGATAAAAAAAACCAGTTGGTTTGTTATTCAGATGATGCAAACATATTTTATTAGTGATGGCTAAGAGATATATTTTTTTCTCCCTATTTACATGGAGTGTTAAATATTTATCTGCACATCACCTCTTTGGATCGTGTGCCGTTCACTTCCCTGACTTACAGTTTTGTTTTCCTGACCAGCCTGTTTTCTAAATGCTACGCTCAGCTTCACAGAACTAACTGTTGCCCTCAACAGTTGATGTTAATGATGCTCAGATCTGCTTTCAAAGGGTTTCTGATGGGTAAAGAATAGATTGAACACAATTCAGCAATCCCCTCTCAATTATCTCCTACCATATGGGGGGGGGGAAAATTAAGAAAAATTGGTGAAGCACAGAACAGATTTTACTTGGGGTTATCAAGTCTGCTGTGGAATGTCTTTAGATACATTAAATAAGCTACAGTATATAATAATACATTATAAAAATAAACATCCCCCCCATTGGGGTGGGGGGTATAGCTCAGTAAAATCCTTTCAAGTATATATTCCTTTCAAGCATCCACGTCTTTTCCTGCATGGTCTAACTAATCTAATGTATCTTTAGGACATCAGGTATGATGGGCTGCATAGATGAACCACACATTGTACAGGTAGTCCTTGACTTACAACAGTTTGCTTAGTGATGGTTCGAAGTTACAACAGCACTGAAAAAAAGTGACAGGAACATTTTCCACACTTATGACCATTGCAGCATCTCTGTGTTCACATGATCAAAATTCACATGCGTGGCAACATGTTTATGACAGTTGTAGTGTCCCTGTGATCCCCTTTTGCGATCTTCTGACAAGCAAAGTCAATGGGGAAGCCAAATTCGTCTACCAGCCTTGCGACTAACTGAACAACTGCAGGGATTCACTTAACAACTATGGCCAGAAAGGTCATAAAATGGGGCAAAATTCACTTTACAATTGTCTCACTTAGCAACATAAATTTTGCACTCAGTTGTGGTTGTGGTCGAGGACTACCTGTAATAACATTTATTGAAAATATATTAATGGTGAATAACTTAAAACAGCATTCCTCAACCACCAACTGATCATGGCTGTCACAGCCAGAATTCCCAGACAGTATGTCATAAGGTAATATCTGTACTGATCTGAGAACTTAAGGGAGAGTGGAGTGTCTACAGTTAGACCTTGCTTACTGACTGCCTCATTTAGTAACCATTTAAAATTATAACAGTATTGAAAAAGTAAATTTCCAACCAGTCCCCATATATGCAACTGTTGCAGTGTCCTGCAGTTACTTGATTCCTATATATGTACTTTGCAACTAATGTGTGACAAGTAAAGTCAGTGGAAAAGGTAGCAGTAAAATTCCAAGTCACAGTCATTTGATGTTTTGCTTAATGACCAAGTGATTTGCATAACAATTGCAACAGAAGTGAGGTGGTAAGTCCAATGCAATCGTGATATTTTGCTTAGCAACTGTAGCACTTAGCGACAAAGTTGTTGGTTTCAACTGTGATTGCTAAGCTAGGACAACTGGTAATAATCAATCTGATAACTATTTTGGAAAGTATTTAGATTTCAGCTTGACTGGCAGACACTAGTTGAAACACAGTCATGACATGTATTTCATGTAGAAAGCTTATGTGAACATTTATTTAGCTTATTTTGAGGGTTGTACAAAAGAAAAATAGCTTTTTTTTGCTTTCCAGATGTTTTGAACTACAATTGGGAATTGCTTGCAGTGTTTAGAACATATGAAAGTCTAAAATCTGAGGGACATTGGGTTCCTTGTTTTTCATAACCAAGAGTATTTAAGTATTGCATTTATTTTTGCTCAGATGCAAAGAAGGAGTAAAGATAATGGAGCTTTAGAAGAGCTGACTGCTACATGTCTCTTTTAAAATTTTAATTATACATCAATTGATTACATGTCTAATATAATTTGTGCAATTTGATTCCTGTAATACCCATGTATAATTTTTTGCCATTTTAATTCCTTATCAGTGTGCTACTATTCTTACTTTTCATTTTCCCTAGTTTGTATGTTATAGTGGATGGAATAATGACTGACAGGCACTCCAGAGTATCCCTAAAAAGTTATTTGGAGTACTGGATTATTTCTGCCTCGAAGCTCTTAGAAAAAGGAGCTCTGCTTTTCGGTCCCTGATCTAAATGATTGCATCAGGCTGCTGTTGCAGATGATGTCTTCTCTAGTTTTCCTTAATTTGTTTTCCTGTTAAATCTTTCCTTGGAACACATAATCATGAGACATGCAGCTTCTCTAATTTGATCTTCCTAGAACATGGCCCCTCTTGTTTATCTATGTCTGTGTAGTAGTTGACAACAAGACTTTTATTTTGTCCTTAAAAGATTACGCTAATGTGGCTAAAAGCCATAGCTAATGTTACTTTTCATGTTCTCTTTAGTTTGGTTCCCATTAGTGAAGCCAGTGTGATTGCAGCTATCTCTTCCCCTCACCGAGCAGAGTCTCTCAATGCCTTGCAATATTGCATCAATACTTTAAAAGCTACTGTCCCAATATGGAAAAAGGTATGTGCGTTTCGGACTTTTGTTTTGAAAAAAAGTACAGTGCTGAACATCACATTGTCCACAGAACCCATTTATTTGTCATCAAATTTGTTTGCCACCCATCTCGTCTATGCCTGTGCCGTGGTATGGCTTTCCCCAGCAGAGGACAGATATCCACTATGATGGATGATTCTTTTTCCTTTGCTGTTTTCCGAGATTGGAAAATTCCAGTTTCCTAAGTGAAGATGCAAAATGGACCAGCCCTCTCTCTTCAGTCCTTTAGGAAACTTACATCTAACTAGTAGCTGGTCTAAATCAGTGTTTCTCAAGCATATCAACTTGGATTTTATTTTCTAGAATTCCACAAGACAGCTTGGTGGCTGAGAAGTTCTAGAAATTGAAGTCCACACATCTTATGAGGTTGAGAAACATTGGTCTAAATAAGTTTTATTGCTTTAAGAGGACAGCAGGTGCAAAATCGACAGCAAAAGCCACTATTTTGAATTTTATTCCCCTACAATGTACTTCCTACTGATAATTTGAAGATAACTCCCTGGATTGATGTTTAGCAGTGTATAGATGGTTATATTGCATAGATTTGATCCAGAGAGTTGATACACTTAAAAACAAACAAAAATATACTGCTTGGGCCCCAGGAAAGAAAGTCTTCATGGGAAACAGATGCCAACTTTTTCATATCTCATCAGACTGATCCTCAAGCTGTTTTTACAATGGGGGCAAAATGCACAGAGAACACATGTGCATCTAGCATGTTAAAATGTCAAGGTCCTTTTGGAAAATATCTGGGGTGATTATTCCTGAATTATATCTGAGACTTTTTTTTCATATTTTAATTCAGCCCTGACAGTAAGCTAGGAAAAAAAATGTAGCTCTGGATTCAGTGTAGCAGATAAGTTAGCTTTGTTACAACAATTCTTATTCATTATGTTCTTTGCTTATAGGAGGTGTATGAAGACGACTCTTCCTGGAAAGAAAATAAAGAGTGCTTTTGGATCAAGGGAGAAAAATAAAATATTAATGTGCCAAAAAAAGAAGGCAGAAGGAAAGCTGATTCAGGGTGTTACACTGAACTGGGAAATGGAATTTAGTTTTTGGTTAATCATTTCTAGAGATGGAAGAAGTATTTGCAACATGGCCAACTGTTTAAAATATACAATGTTTAAATTTCTTTCTCTGTGTTAATAAGCCTTAATCTTTAAAGCCAGAACATTTCAAAAATAATTGTATTCTAAAATTGAACTTGTAGAAATTATAATTCTCCAACTTCGAAAGGGAATGAGATAATGAAATCACCCATCTGATTTATTTAGGAAAATTACTGCTTTCACAGGCTTCTTTGTATCCTAAAATCATTTGTCTGTTCTTTCAGATCAAATGATCTTTTGATGTTTTGAGTATCTCTAAATAATGTAACTCTTACTTAGTTTTGCTCCCTGTCATAAATTTAGGTGATTTTCCCAGTCATTATAAAATTGAGGTGATGGCCATAGAGTTCTCACTAATTATATTAAAAATATGGGAATAAAATTATGGAAACAATTCAAAGTTTACAACCATTTGACTTAGAACCATTCATTTAGCAACTGTTACATGGCACTGAAGAAAGTGACTTGCGAAGAGTCATCACACAATTGTCACATGATTGTCTTGTGACCAAACTCCAGGCGCTTGGCAACCAGCATGTATTTATGATGGTTGCAGTATCCTGGGGTCATGGGATCACCATTTGTGACATTTCCGGCCAGCTACTGACAAAGTCTGGGGGAATATGGATTTACTTAATGACTGCATGGATTCATTTAACTGCAGTGATTTGCTTAATGACCATGGCAAAAAAGTCATAAAATTGGTAACAACTACATTGTGTAGCAGTGGAAATTTAGATCACCGTTGTGGTTATGTCAAGGACTTGTACGTCCATGTGCTCTCATGAACCAAAGCTAGGCAAGAGAACGGGTATTGCATATTCTACACTAACCTAAGCTTTGTTGCTGTTTTGGTGTCTTTGAGTCAGTATTGACTCCTGGTGACTGCCTGAATAGGTCTGCAGTTTTCTTGGCAAGATTTCAGAACTGATTTACCATTGTCAACTTCCTAGGGGTAAGAGAGAGTGACTGGCCCAAGGTCACCCTGCTGGCTTTGTGCTAAGGTAGAACTAGAAAGCATAGTCTCCCAGTTCCTAACTTATTGCCTTAATGATACATCAATTTGGCTTCCTTAGCAGGAAACTTTGCACTAGGAGGATTTAAAAGACCAGCAACAGCAAACCTATGAAGGTGTATTTTTGCAAATGCTGCTTTTCCATACAAACAAATATAATGCAAATTTTTGAACCAAACAATTTGAGGGGAAAAGTGTAATAGATGCTCTGGATGCTCTGAAGTTCCCTGACCTTTCTGCCTCTCCTAAAATGAATGCTCGGCAAAATAAAGAGAAATAAAGTACAGATAGGTAGATGATATAACAATATACTTGTATTAAATAGGTTTCCAGACTATAATTCAGCATTAAAAGTCTACAGTGGGATGGTTTCAAAATTTATTCAACAGGATTCATCTTTCTTTAGAACACAATCTCCAGTATATTCATTTGTTTTGGTACAAAGTGCAAAATACACATAAAGGCTTTGTACAATACCCCTATTTACTGAATTATTTTTTTTAACAAAAATAAAGTAAACGTAAAAAAATAAAGTAAAAAAGTTTAACAAAAAGAAAAGTAAAAAATTGTAGCATACATTCTACAATATTATAAAAGAGCACAAACTATTATTTATTGAACCAATGTGCCTGAACTTTAAATTAACCACAGCAGTTGAGTTCACATAAGCTGGCTACATTTTTGCCAGTCTTGTTCTATGAAACATGATTCTAGGAGTGAAAATGTGTAACATTTTTGTGCCGGATATGAATGTATTACAGAAAGCAATATTTTCTACATCGTATCTAACAGCAGTGAAAACACTTGACTCAAGTAGAATGGTAATTAAAATTCATCATGAACATCTGTATTAATGCTGTTGGGATCTGTAAAGACATACTGAACCAGTCTTCAAGTTACCGTAGTTATCTTAGGCTGGAGGGGAACTCAAGTGATTTTCTTCCCAATGCAAACAAACTGAAGTTTAAAAAGAGCTTCCTGTATTTCAGCCAGTGTTAAACAAAAGTAAACATAATTTATTAGATATTTTCAATAGAGGTAATATATTACAAGTAAGACTACATATCTTCCAGTGTTTACAGACTTGAGTCATTCAGAAGTTATGCCTTACCATAGTCAATAGAGTTTATTGCTGTGTAAGTGTGTAAGTGAAAGATGCATATATGCTTCTGATATTAGTCAAAAGTGCAGAAACTGGCACAAATGGCTGCAGCTAGGCAGAATAACATGATTGCCCATCAGAACATCCCAGTTCCAAAATTAAAATGTTCCTCTTAAAGAATAATGTAATGGGTTCTGAAGGATGGGTTTGAAGATTTAACTACATGTAATGATAATCAAGAACAAACTTAATGGATAAATAATATTGTAAATGAGTGAAAGAATTTGCACGATACTGAAGATATGCAGGAGGAAATTAAGCATACAATTTGCTCCTGTTCTCAGAATATTAATATTTAATTTTTAAAAATCCAGCTATTTCTTGTCTGACAGTTTTAATATGCTTCAAATCCCATTAAAGCAGTGCTCTTTGGAATCTTTATTATAAAACCACATTTAAAAAAAACTACACATCTTAGAAAACTGCATGTTTCTACCAGATTTGCCAGCTTAAAAAGTGTAATTGAAAAGAACAATTGGTGCTGAATTGTTTAAAAAAAATTTTTAAATGATTTTTTAAAAAAATTCTGAAAAGATCTAGAAAACTACTAGTAACTCTTGCTTAGCAACTTCCTCAAGCAGCTGCAGCTTGCAGTTACGACTTTGTTGGAAAAGTAACTTTGCACCAAAAATCACATTTGTGACTGCAACATCTCTCTAAATCATGTTTGGTATTACAGTCAGTCAGTATGCACAGTCCTATGTAAAATCATAAGCACATCACGGTCATGTGATTTTTAACTCGGTAACCACTCTGCTTAACAACCAAGCTGCCAGTCTCAAATGTAGTTGCTAAGGGTTTTTTGGCTGGTATACGTGTGAGAATTCCGGAAACTGGTGACTAGATTATAACATTTACTTCTTCAGAAACCTGACTGCTCCTTAAAACCCTGAAAAGAAACTGAGTTTCTTTTTATTGTTTGTTTACATATTTCTAGAGCTATTTGAAAGCACCACCTGGAAAAAGAGCTAAAAAGCGTAAGAGGTTTACATGTTGTATAAAACTTAATTAAAAATTTCAAAGTGGCATTTGATTAGTCACATATAGCACTTAAATCAGTATTCAATAATTAACAAAGATAACCAGTATAATAAAACCAATTAGAATGAATGATTCATGAATGTTGCTACATGATTTTAGAAGGTCTATTCTTAATGCAGTGATCATACAAGACAATATTTTTACAATATTCAGTATTGAAACAAGGGGTGATTAGACTGGGTTGGTATTTTTTCTGTTTTTCCCATAGTTCTGGTAGGCTGTTGGAATATTTTATAGATTGTACATTTCTCTCTATATCCAACCAAAGATAATTATGGAAAACTTCACTTGAATATATCTTTCTGGTGTTAAGCCCATTTACCATTATCAGTTTCCATTCTTCATATATGCTCTGTATCCAGGTGAGAAAATTTGCAGTTTAATCTTGCAGTTTACCTTCTTTAGAGTCATAATAATGAAGAGATATTCCACTTTATTAAAAGAATATCTCCCATAAAAAGGAAAATCTGCTGTCTTGTTTTTCTGATTAAAAATACCATGTGGTATTTTGGCCAGACCAAGTGAATGTACTGAGTGAAAGATGATCTTAACAGAATTGTTACTTAGGCAAAAGAAACCAAAGCATTTTTTACAGTTCCAAACAGCCAGATAACATCGCAAGTTTAGATGCCTCCTCAATTCACAGATCTATAAGGAGAGCAAGGTACAACCCAATTAGGCTTGTAAGATGCTCTTATAAATACTCTTACAATCTCAGTAAAGGTAGTTTTAGTCTTCTTACAGAGTTGATTTCCTGGACTGCTCTAAGTACTGGAGCTGACACCAATCTTCATCATACATACCCAGGCTGGTCTGTAATAGTGTGTCCAGATGAATGTACAGTTTACTGTTGCATCTTGGGTATGGAACCAGTACTAAGCCAAATCATGCTCATATTGTAAGACATGTTTCTATGTCCATACAATATTACCCTAAAGCATTTAGTAATCTTTGCAATCATATCTACAACTTTTTTAGACAATGCCTGAATTAAATTAATAAGTGCTATCCTTTCTTTGGTGCTACAATGAACTACAAATAATTGTGTACTCTTGAGCAATTCTGTGCTAAGCTACAATGGTCATATTCACATGTCACATTTAGTCACAAGAGAGTAAACAGACCAATTTATGGTTTAATGTAATATCCGAATGCAGATACTGATTGTGAGGAGCTAGCACTGCTCAATGTGTGTAAAGTTTTGAGTAACTCAAGGACAGATTTTGACTGCAGGATGAAAATAACAGGTCCTGCTACTGGTAAATAAAGATAAACTATTCCACATGTACATCAAGGATACAAAACGGTATTGCTGGCAAATTTCAGCATTATTTCTGGCCCCGCCAATTCAGAGGATCCATCATTAACAGTACAAAATATACAAAAACAAAATCTTTATACAACTGTAAACAAAAGCCCAAACCGACCAGCAGTTATATGTATAATATAACTTATAAAAATGTAAAACTTTTTTATAAGGCACTCGTAGAAATTAAACAGTGTGATTGCAAGCACTGCTTGTGGCTCAAGATTCGTACATTCAGGAATATTTCTGCTATGTTTACTCTCTGTCCTGAGTAAGTCCTGTAATCTCATCCATGTCTTCCAAATCTGTTTCCATTTTCTTGTATGTTCTCTTGAAGAAACCAAGCTGCAAGAAATTTTTGAGAAAATTTACATTTGTTATTATTTAATGCTAGAATGTAGCTTCAAGGATATGATCCACACTGTTTCTATTGTTCTTCAACTTTGATTTTTAATAATGGATTGTCTCTGCTCAATTCTAAATTAGAAAAACTATGGTTAACCTTAACTGCAGATGGCCAACCTCTGAGGGTTGCTAAATTGTGTTAAAAGTCTAAGCTAAGGCAATGTTTCTTAACCCTGGCAATTTTAAGATCTGTGGATTTCAATTCCAGGAAATCCCCTGCCAGTGTTGTGTGCGGAATTCTGGGACTTGAAGTCCATACATCTTCAGTTGTGAAGGTCAAGAAGCAACATTCTAGGGCAGGGATGTCAAACTTGCAACATCACGTGATGTGTTGCGATGTATTGCGACTTTTTCTCCATTGCTGGCAATGGGGTGGGCGCGGTTTCAGCGTGACGCATCCGGCTCATGGGCTGGCAGTTTGACACCCCTGTTCTAGGGTCTCACAGTGTACAAGCAGGTAAACCCACCCCCTTGTTTGCTGATCTTATTTTCTTTCCCTAAATGAGTATGAAGACTGAGCACAATTCTAGGACTGAATATAATTACAACTGCATTAACTGAAAAGTAGCAGGTGTTCCACTGGATTAATTACATCAAATAAGCAGTATATATGCACATACTCCTAAATTCAGATAAATGTAAAACTTAAATATATCTGAAATGAGCATTAGACATTATAGCACAGTATGTGCATTTAATAGATGAAAAATCAGCAGGCCTTCAAAACATTTTTTGGGGACAGGAGTTCTAAATTCAAATCGACTTACTTCTGAGCATGAGCTACAAAATGATGTGCCTTGTGGCAATGATTTTACATCCCATGGAAGAATGTGGCTTCATTAATTGGGTAGCTTGGTATATGTCAGAATTGCTTAAGAGATTTGAATCTCAAATTCAAACATTCTCTGTCATTCTTAATTCTCACTGCTTAAAGGTAGTTTTGAAAACTCAAAATATTTGCTTCAGTAGGACACTTTATTCAAAATTTTTACATGGTTGTTAGCAAAGTTGGACAAGGTAATATTACTTAGTGTGGGAGGCCACATGGATGGGATAGTGATGGAAAGTGTTTGTGCGTGTGTATCACTCTCATTGTAGAACTTCCCTTTATCAGATTTTTTTCCTTAAAGGCAGAATTTAGAAGGGGAATTCATTCATTTTCTTAAACTTATTGTTACACTTACATTCAAAAGTGCCATCAATTTGTGCTACCAACATTTAAAATTGTAATATGTGAGAATGCTATGGACTGAAGGACCACAGATAGCCCTGGAGGACTCAGATTGCCTGATCATTAAGTAATTCTTTCAATTATACAAGAAGAAATATTTCATTTAATTAACTTTTACACTTCTAAGCTTTTACTTACTTTCCATAAAACAGCAATAATAATTATTAGCAAGAGAAGACCTATAAGGACACTTGCTATTACAATTCCAATGGGTATTTCTGCTTTCTCATCAGGTTTGATTATTGTAATTGGAATCTAAAAAAAAAATAAATGTAGTTATTTCAAAGATGAAAGTGGTCCTTTTCATAAAAAATGATAACTTTCATTTTGCACATACTCTTTAAATATTAGCTAACAGCACAATGTTAATTATTGTGGTCATATTAAACTGCATAGGAATGAACAAATCCACTAATTTCTTGTTTCAATATTCAGATACATTTTCAATCTAGAGTTAGGAATTTCAGAATTGTAATACGTTTTGCACATGCAATATTCCATTTAAAGAATATGTTAAAAGCTCATTCTGTTTCTTTTTTTAACAAATGAAATAGCACTTTTGCAAGATCATTACCCAAAACGAACTTGAAACATCTTATTTGGAGGAATTAATATTACAACATTCTTGTAAGTAGCCCTGAGCAATTGAGAGGAATACCAAATTTACTTCTAAATATATGTTTTTAATGAAATGAAAGGTCTGTCTTTCACTTGCACAGCCAGGAGAAACTTCTGCAGCACCTGTGTGAGTCTGGAAAAAGGCACAGCTGCTGTAACTATTTGAAGATATGCCTTTGTCTGTATCTCTATGTATTCTGAAGCATCTCTCAAAGAATTTCCTCATTCTAATTTTTAACATTTCTTTGAAATTTCTTGGAAAATGTTGCAAAAATACACCAATAGATTTTGGTAATTTAGATTCCACTCTTAACAAACATACTCACCCAAATCCTCCAAATGTTGAGTGGGATTTAGGCAAAGGCAAATTACGTAAACATTCCTAGTGTGTGCATTGCTTAGAGTTAACTTTGTGAATCAATACATGTCTGTCCTTATTTGTAGAAACACAGAGAAAAGAGATTGAACAGAATTCCTGCAGCATTCCCTCTATTTCAGTTCAATTTTTCAGATAATTATTTTTCCCAAAAGACAAAATATCTGAACTAAGCATGGCATGGGGAACACAGAATTTGTCCTCCTCTTTCATTTCCTTCCTTCTCCAAAAACTATTTTTTTCCATAAATGAAGCTGATTATAAGTAGATGTTTAAAAATGATGTGTGGCCTCAGAAATGCTCTGTAGGATAGGTATGTATTCTTATGACTTGCTTATGTAGAACTGTGTCATGGGCTCACCCCAGGTGCCACAGTCTTCTGAAGAGAGACAACTGCAACTAGAGACAGAGGGTTTTTATTTTGAAAGACCAATATAGACAGAGAAAGTCAAAGAAGTTTGGAAGAAATAATATAATCAAAGCTGGACCCCAAGCACAACCAGAATACAGCAAGAGTGGGACTTCCCCATAAAAACACATGTCCGTTATCTGTCAGATCTGCCAGCAAGCTGCCAACTGCAAAAGGCAAAGACAAAAAGCTTTTATCAGTCCCCAACTCATCAAAAGAATTCCAGAATATCAGAGAAAACAGGCAAAAGAAAAACTACAAAAAATAAAAGGTTACAACCTTCAACAGGAGAGCAAATGACAGAGAACAAGAAACAACTCACCACATGGGAAGAAAGGAGTAGAAACAGTGTTTCTCAACTTTGACCATTTTAAGGCATGTGGACATTGCTGGCTGTGGAATTCTGGGAGGTGAAGTCCACATGCCTTAAAATGGTTAAGATTGAGAAACACTGGACTAGAAGAATTTAACAGAAATTAATTTTCATTTGAAAATAGGAATCAACGACAAAGCAAGTTCACGAGCTGCAAGAACAAGAGCCTGGATATAAATATAGCCATCCTTGTTAGAAACTGGATTGTAGACCAAGCTATTTAGGCCATCAGTTATGGTTTTTCTTAAGCAATGCTGCTACTGCTGCTGCACAAGAATACAAAGCTGAAAACTGAATCATCACTGAATGATGCAGCAGCAAGTGAGAGCAGAAATTTGGTGATGGGGAAAGTTGGGCTCCCAGATGAGCAGAGTTTGTCAGCTAGAGAAACATGGCTGAAAGTCCTGATATCAGGAATGGGGTACATCAAGAATGCCATATCGGAAGCCTTCTTTGAGTCTTCTGTTGGTCCTGGCAAGTATGAAGCAGCTACTTTTGTTCAGGAAGTGCTAGGATCTCTGCTAATCTCCTACCTGTATGAAATCAATGCCCCCTGCCCCAGTGCATTTTTTCCTAGTTAGATGGAAATCAGTTCCAGCAATAATACAACTATTTCTATAATATGCTTCCATCAAATTTATAACACCTTAACATTAAAGTGACTGAGACCAGGATATTCAAGGAGTATTTTTTTCCTCCTTGAGGAAACTTCAAAAAGAGCTTTGAAAGGCGGCACCAGATGTAATCCCATTAAACAAATCAGAATAATTTCTGCTCTTAATTTAAATATTGCTTTAAATCAGGGATGTCCAACTTGACAACTTTAAGACTTATGGACTTCAAGAATTCCCCAGCCAGCCAACTTCTAGATTTCCCGACTTTAAATTACTGTCCCCAGAGAAACTGAGTACAAATCCCACTGGTGATAGGAATCCTTGGAACAACAGTTTTATGTATTGGTGGAATTTTTAATCCTGTTTTATTAGGAGACCTCTTGAAAAGAATCCTCCCCCAAACAAGTAAAAAAAACTGTAGATAGTTTAAGGGAAAGACCAAGCCTTAAAGAAAAGTCCAAAAGAAGGTCTCACTCTGAAGCAGACCATTAAAATAACTACAATGCCAAGTCCAAAGTAAAATCAATTAGATATTTCCCATGAGTGTCCTGTGAATATCTACCATCAGGAAATCTGAATTATTGTACCAATTAATCTGGCTATTTCTCACGGGATACATTCCAGTGTTATGAGAAAGAGGACTTCCTGCCCATTATCTGCAACAATTAATAATAATCATAATAGTGAAATATGAAGGAAATACACTGACAAATCTAGCATATTGGATATTTTATATGATCTGCTACATGTAACATCACTAATCTCCACAGGAGGGCACCAGCTTATATACTTTTTAGAAAGATATAGGCTTAGATTCCAAATAAGATACAGGAGTAAATTTAATTAAATAAAGTAAATTTTGTTTGTCAGCAAAGGTATTCAGAACAGTAAAACAGGTTTGTTTTTAAAACAAAATTATATGCAGTTATTTTTTTCTGCTCTTCCATACAATTACTTTTAATGCTAAACAGAAAGTTGAAAATGACTCCCCCCCCCTTTTTTTTTTCTACAATCTCCTATTTATCTTTTGCCAGATCTACTCCAAAAGCAAGGGTGCTTTTTTCCTAGAGGGTGTGAGGTGTAGTAATCTCCTATTTTAGAATTTTTTTGTGATTATGCAATATTATTTTATTCTTCCAGGTGCTTTAATATAATATGGATTCAACATTAATGCTCAACTGGGTATTTTTAATTTATTTTCTGCTTATTGTTGTTTATGCTTCTAAATCATTGCCTATTGTTTTTAGTTTAATTTAAATGTCACATTTTGATTTCATTACAAATTATCATAGGCCTTTTAGGTAAAACTTGACTTAAAAGAGACAGTAAATAGTTTACAGAAACTAGCCAAAATGAAAAGTTTCTAGCTTTTTTGTTGAATCCTATGAGATGGACAAATCAGATAGCAAATTAGATGTTTTCACTGTATAAATGAACTCACCAGGTGTCCTTTTTTTAATATCAAACAGCAAGCTGGAAAAGTTTAGGAGATGTCTCTCTTGAGTTTATGTGATTTCATAGACATAGCCACACAGTTCTCGCTTAGTGACCGTTTCTCAGCGAACATTTGAAGTTACACTGAGCTGAACAAAGATTTACACACAGTCCTTAAAATTGGGGCTATTGTAGCATTTCTGTGGTCATCTGACCACAATTCAGGCACCTGGCAACCAGCATGCAATTACAGTGGTCACAGCATCTTGTTATCAAGTTATTTGTGATCTTCACCTCTAGCTTCCATCAAGCAAAGTCAGTGGGGAAATTGGCGTAGGAAATTGCAAAATGTGGTCACATGACATCATACTTAATGACCATTCTGATTTGCTTAATGACTGCAACTGGAACTGATACTGTAAATTGGCACTGTCTCGTAATTTTTCATTTAGCGCCAGAGTTCCCAGTCCCTATTACAGTTGTTAACTGAGGACAACTTGTTAAATAGTATGTCAATGCTTGCTTTCTGGATGTTTCTAAGTGCCCGATTTAGTAATAGTTTTAGCTTCCTATTATTCTTATCCAAGTATTAACCAAGACTAATAACCCTGTTTAGCTTGATCTTGTTCGTCACTAAATATTACATGTCCAGATACTTCACCAAACAGAGGTTCTCCTGCAATGAACAGGGCAAGGAGACATCTACAGAAAGAAATAATCCTAAATATGTTTCCAGAAATATATATTAGATTAGAATTGAATTCAGTTTCTTGCTATAGCTCTGTCTTTTTAATTGCTAGATTATTGAAAAAAGATGACTTTCTTCCTTTCCTAAATTTCATAACCCTCAATTTGATTAGTTTGGGGGCAGTTATAGGAGTGTAACCAACATTGATCAGAAATATGCAATAATTTCAGCATATAAAACCTTTTAAACCTTTTGTCAGCCAAATTTGTCCTCATTAAAATTGCTTAAATCTTGAGTAACTTTAAAACTCTCAAAATAACTTTGAACTTCTGGAGAAGAAATTTTCAGAGAAGGCGATAAGTTTCTAAAATTATATTTTAGAATTATATTTGTGGTGGAGAGAAAAGCATTTCTTAAATATTTATTTTATTTTTCTTTACTCTAATTTTTTATTTTCTAATTTTTTTCTTTAAGTACTTTTTAACTACTTCCTTTTTTATTCTTTTAGTTCGTACTAGGTTTTGTCTTTTTAATTGTAACTTTTAATAAAATTACTATAAAAAGAAAGAAAACATCTGAACAATTTCGAAACCATAGATGCAAAGTATAGGGCTAAAAGGACAGATTCATACAACACAGAAAAGCATTTCAACAAAAGCCTCCCTGCTCCAGCAGGAATTAGTTTCACCTAAAGAGAGCCTGGGATTAAGCTGTCTATCTAGATCAGGGATGTCAAACTGCCGGCCCGCAGGCCAGATGCGTCACGTGGAAGTCATACCCACCCCATTGCCGGCAATGGCAAAACCAGTCCGATATGTTGTGCAACGTCACGTGACGTCGCGAGTTTGACATGTCTGATCTAGATGATTCTTTGCTGCAGCCTTTTAGCATTAAAGCTTCAAAAAGAAATTTAGCAGAGTAACCCTAGAAACATAAAGTCACACTCACAGATAAAGTGCTTTCTCCTGTTATAAATAACTCGGAATCTTGGGCGTCAATTTCGGCACTTGCAGATAATTCTATTTTCTGGAAGGCTGACTGCAACAGAAAAATACATCTTTATATACAGTACATTACATCTTACATTTAAAAAAATTACATTTCATCAAATATATAAATTATTTAAGGTAGGGGTGTCCAACCTTGGCAACTTTAAGAATTGTGGACCTCAACTCCCAGCATTCCCCAGACTGGAGAAATTTAAGTTCACAAGTCTTAATATCATCAAGGTTGATCACCCCTGATTTAAGGTTTCAAGTCCATTTAAAATTGTTTGTCATTTAGAGCATCTTCTTGCATCTTCTGTCATTTTAATGAAAGATTGTTGGCTTTACTTTTTGTGTTATTTTCTTAAATATCCAGAGGCTGGTAACAAAATAAAACCCATATATTACTTACAGTTGCAAATGTCCCATTCCAGATTCTAGTAGAAATATTAACATAATTTTCAGGTTTCATGGATATATCTTTTAGCATGCACGTGATTGTATCACATCTGACGTTCTTGCAGTTCTTTTAGACAAGAAGCATGAATATTTGTTGATTAGTTCTTTATTATTTTAAAATATGATAATATAAAAAAATCATGTACTTCACATTTCTCTTCATCCAACCTCAGCTTCTATTTAGGGCCTTCTTTTTTTATTATGTGTATAGTTGTGTTTAGACTGCTGTCATCAAATTTTTCATATTTTTTGGCTTAAATCCCAGAATCTTGAAATTCAGGCAATCCACCCTCCTGTTGAGGTGGACGTGAGACAATTGTAACAAGCCCCATTATAGCCTTCTCACAGAGGAGAAGAGTTAGCTGGGAACCATAACAAAAGAGGAACCTCTACTTTGTGGTTGTGATTTCCCATCGCTACTCCAGAGTAGTTCATGAGAACCTATGTCTCAGTATTGCAGTTATGCATTTAACTCACCAATTCTTTCAAATCTTTGAAGTTTTCTTTCTGAAATGATGCAACAGAGCCTTGTGATCCAATTTTATGTGGATTGATGAGTCCATGACAGTTGATGTCACTGCCCTATAAAGAGAATGTAATAATATAAAATGCACATGAAATATTCAGTTTAATGTCCCCTGCTATTGTTCAGTGGAATAGTCTTAGTATATGTAATAAATATAGAAACTGTTAGACAAACACTGGGGATATATTACATTTTGGTATTCTCTAGAAAGATGAAAAGAACAAGCAATCCAGAGAAGATTTCTACAATTTTAAGAAGCAGGACTAGGGTTTACTATAGCCAAAATTTCCTATAGATTCTGCTTTTGTTCTTTTAAATGAAGGGCTATACTGCATTATTATTCCTTTGTTCCCCCTTTTAAATGTTATTGGCTCTACAAGTACACTTTTGCATTTGATTTCAGGTTACAGTATGTGCACAAGTGCAAAATCAATGTAATTTTATATATAAAGTCAACATGGTCTAGTTAAGCACCAAACTGAGAATCTGAGATCTGAAGATAAAAGATTAGTAAATTTATTCTATTTATTTGAAAAAGAACTGAACTGCCCACCATAGTGTTCAAGAACGACTTTTGTCACAAATGCTTGTGAATATACATGTCCCAAGATAATGTTGCAGAATCCAATCTGGGTCAGTCACTAGCAGAAGTTTTAGTCTTCTGAGTTGTCGGACGGGAAGAAGTCCATTCAAAAGCTCATAAGTGAGCGGCCCAGATGGGATCCTGCAACTACTTTTGTCATTTATAATAATATTGATTCATCTGTAGATGTTCACAAAAGCTGGAGAGGAGGAACAATCCATTATAAGAACTCTTACACAGTGCAGTCTTAATGTATTTTATGCCCTACTGAGTATATACAAAATTGCACCATTAATCAGGTATATAGATCAGCTCTTGACAGGCTTAAATTTGTCTCATTATTATCAGTGCAGTTTCTGTTTAAGTTAGCTTTGTATTATCTTTGTTATTGTCTTATACTTAAAATAGAACTTTGTATCACCTGACTGGTGTGGACTGCAGTCACATACATCAAAGGGTTATTTTCCTTAGTTTGATTAGGAATATGAATTTTTAAAATTGCCATATTGATTGGATTACTTCCTCTTATGACCTGGAAAGCAAGAGAGGGATTAATACCAGACTTAATTCTAATAGTAAATGGGCTACGTTATAAGAATCATTTTCTCTTAATTAATGTTAGAAAGGAAGACAAGCTGGCACTTTTACAACTATGAAATAGATCTATACTTTGAATTGTTCAGATTGTGGGCCACGCTATTAGCTGTGTTAGCTAATTTCATATTATTTTTATCTCTAAATCACAAGAGGTAGGTGTCATCACTATGCTAAACCAAAAGCAAGACGTATTTTAGTTTACCATGATTTATGAACAGATTATTTTCTATATATTTAAAAGATACTTGAAAATGTTTACAGACCTTAACTGAAAAATTAAATACAGGTCCAATTTCATCAAAATTATTCACCATGGTGTAAACGTTATGATTAGAATATACTTCATAGTAGTCCATACTGGTAAACCTGGGGAGAAATAAATCAGAGCAGATATTCAGGATACAGCTTTCCTTTCAATATTAAGGAACTCAAAATTTGGAAATACATCTGGAAGAATATTGTTTTAATACAGGCATATTTTTGTTTACTTTAAAAAAGTAGTTTTATAGCAATAGCTATACGTCTATTATTGTGAATGTCTGGACATTTATAAAGAAGGTTTGGAATGACCTGTGTCTCTGTGAGAATGTCAACAACTGACAGACATTGTCTGTTCCAGCAGCTTATCTGAAATTCTTCTCCCACTTCTCTGCATCCCTATTCTTTTTCCTGGATCCTTTGAATGCCAGAAATACACCTCTGTCTTTACACACGCAGGTATTTTTTTGCTTTGGAGGATGAGTCACAAATTCATCCTGGGTTAGAATCTATTTTTTCCCTTGATCCTTGGACAAGTCCTTCCAGTTTTCTTGGCAAGATTTTTCAGAAGTGATTAGCTATTGCCTCCTCCTTGGGGTTGAAAGAGACTGGCTGAAAGAGACTGGCTTTTTGCCTAAGATGGGACTAGAACTCTTGATTTAGTTTCTATCCTGATGCCTTGACCACTATATCAAAATCTCTAGGACAATGTATCTCAACCTTAGCAACTTTAAGCTGTGTGGACTTCAACTCCCAGCATTCCCCAGCCAACACAGAATATAATACATCACAGAATAGCTAGGGTCTATTACGCCAATAGAATTACCTCATTAAGTGAAATTCTGCATCATAACGAAGTGGAAGTGTTACGTTCACCTGATTGTTTGTATAATCTTCTTCATTACTTGCACTGTTCAATAAAAAATGAAATATATTTGAAAACATTTACAAAGTTATAATCTCCAAATGTATAAATTCTAGCAGGAGGCTCAAAGGAAATTTGACTAAGAACAGTTCAGAGATGGAAGGAAGTCACAAATTGAACATCTAGCTGTATATGTGAGATAGAGTAGATGCAATGTATGTCCATCTGGATGGTTTTTATACTCTTCACCCTAAACTTTTCCAGTCTAAGGGATTGTCAATAAGCAGCTTTGTTTTTCTCCAGCTCTAGTGGATATGTTCTACTGTGTATCTTCAGACAGTAAGTTATAATAAAGCAAGTTCTTTTTAGAATAAGCAAAACCTCCATAATGAAATGTACATCTCTTAAAGGTGGCCTAGCAACTAATTCACTTTTTGAAAACTTCAGGATTATGTTATTTAACATTATTATGAAGCTATTATTATTTGTTTAATGACTTCTTTGTTTGTGAAAACGGATATCTTGAAGAACACAGCATTTCAAAATAAGGAAGTATGGGTTTGGCTGCAAATATTGTTTTGAAATGTAACAGGAAATTTACAGTGTACCTCAAAGCTTGAAAATGTAATACTGCCACATTCTGAAGGATTTTCAAACTGAAGTCAAAATTAATATCAAAGGATACCTATGAAGAAAACAAAGATGAAAAATAACACCAAAATTAGGAAAGTCATTATCACTAGTAAGCCAATTTGCTTTAAAAAATAAGATCAGATATTCCATAAGGGGGTTCTACTGTATACACTTCCAATTTTATTTTAAACAAATATTTGATAAGCATAAAAAAGGCAAAGACAAAGGTGTCCAACTCTAGACTGGATAACCTAATCTTCGTTTCCTAGCCGAGGGAGCTAGTGTTGTCTGAAGACGCATCTGTGGTCATATGGCCAACATTACACTGTTACCTTCCCACTGAAGCAGTACCTATTTATCTACTCGCATTTCCATGCTTTCAAACTATTAGGTTGGCATGAGCTGGGGCAAGAGTGGGAGCTCAACCCATCATGTGGTACTTGGGCCTTGAACTGCCAACTCACTGGTCAACAAGCTCAGCCTCTTAACTGCTATCAACATGAATATAGCATGTTTGGAACTAATTAAAGCAACTGCATGTATTCCCAGGATTATACAGCTGCTCTGGATATACCAAAGCACTAATTCAGAATTGAACTGCAAATATAATACATCGCTATTCTACATTAACATTATGCCTAGATTAACCTCTGATTGCTAAGGATTCATCCTTATGTTCTGCTTACAGCAGAACAAAAATACCTTTGAGAACCATTTTTAAGAGATATAGCCATGCGTTGTTGCCTGTCTCATCCTTAACCCACTGAAAAGGCAGCCTAAAATAATTTTGCTGCTAAAGTGATGCTTTCCTTGCTTTCAAATAAATCTAACTATATGAACAATGAATGATAAAGCTGGTGATGTTGTGGTCGAGATTAAGTATCCTTCCCTCCACAGTCCTATTGTGGGCCACTGCCCACTATGACCAGGTTTACCTGAGCTGTGAGAGAAGGGACACCTGCCTAGACTAGGCCTTTCTGTTGTTGATGCTTTTGACATGGGAATATCAATCTTCTGGAAGACCATGTCTTTGCAAATGAATGATTGTCTTCCAGGAGACCAATGTACCTAATGTACATCTCCAAATGTTATTCCGAATGCCAATTAAAGCTATAACCTGGTATAACATGGATTATAACAATTTAACCTACAATTGCATATTCCCCACTTTTCCTTCCCTGCTTGATGAAGAGTTCTTGAGAATTCAATTTTTTTAGGTTACATATTTTGCATTGCTGAATATAATGCCTTTGCTTTTTCATTTTGCTTTTGAATATTTAAAATATTTCAATCTGATGTTGAATCTGTAGCATTTCTTATTTAGATACCTCTTGCCCTCCTTTAAAAACAGGATAGCTGATTTGGCAGACAACAAGATGATGGACAACTGCCATCTGACATAAAACTTCGCTTTCATCCACCTAACAATAAAAAACAGATATTTTATTAGAATTACATTCAAGATTATTGTGTAATGAAGCTTCCACATGAAACTTTGAGGAATAACGATGCAGATAATAGATGAGATTAAGAAATTGGTCTTCTGCCAATAGGAGATTTTTTTTTTGTTTCTGGAAGAACTGAAAAAACACGGAGATTCCTCATTAGAGGAACAGGGCAATTAGCAGAGTTAATTCTCAAATGTGCAACTGCGTTATATAATAAGCAGCATTTTATTAGCATTCAACAACAATGTTCCAAATATCAACTAGGAAGTTAAGATATTCATATATCGAGCATGCCCATCTCCCAAAACTACATGAGTCAGTTTATTTTCCTATTTCCATGTAGGATAAGCAGATTTAATTTTGACTTTATCTTGCTTCTGAATTACAACTCTCAAATCTATGAATAGCTAATTCAATAGTGCTTATTTCAGAATAAACATGCCAAGGTTTAAATCTGATAGGATTGATTTTTTCTTCTATAGACATACTAAGCAGTCTTCCTCTTTTAAAAAGTGTAGAATAAGAATAATGACCTGGATTGGGACATGCAAACTTTGTTGCCAAGGCAAAAAGGGGTAAAAATATTTTAAGTTCAGAATAATATTCAGGAATCGCTCAAATGAAGACTTTTATAATTCACTGAATTATAAGAAACAAGAGGAAATATAATTATGAAATTCTTGGTGGTCCCTGAGATTAGTTATTTGCTTGCAGATGTTTCAATTCTCAATTAGGTAGCATCATGTATCTAATGTGGAGTGTCGAGTTTGTTCCCTGTTTATACATAGTAGGCCAGTGTTGGCAAGAGTGTTGTTTTCTCTTCGGTAATTCTTTGATTGGGGTATTGATTTCTGCTTGATTGTTTGTCTGGCATTAATTCCTATTTATCTGGGTATTGGTTGCTGGAGAGGCTGTGTTCTGTTTTTTTTTATTTCCTTCTTAGCCTTTTTAAAGTTCCTCTTTGAATACAAATGTGATTTATCTCTATTGATAGCTAATTTGTCTAAATCCCAAGTTTCCAAGAATTCTCTAGCCTTTTTGGATTCAGCTTGATCTAGGATGCTCACAGCTTCCCTTACTTCTTTCTATATTCCCATTCCCTCCATATAAACAGGGAAAAAGTTCCACACTCTCTAGTACTGATGATGTTACCTAGTCAAGTAATGAAACGTTTTGCAAGCAAACAACCAAGCTCAGATTGCATGAAGTTCAACCCTGAGCTGTACATAATCTCTTCTATTGGAATAATATGATTAGACTTGAAAGATTTTATTATAATAGATATTCTCAATAAAAATAATTTTAGCTTTCCTCTGGAGTTGATTTCTATCTAGTGTGGTTGAAAAGTATCTTTACAAGGGTGAAGAGATGGGATGGGATTTACTCTCAATAATTATGAGCATACATCTAAAAGAAGATACTATTATTTAATAAAATAATTGGTATTATTAGCATTGAACACAACAGTAAGAATAGAGATTATAGATACCACTGAAAAAGATGAAGCAAAAAACAAGTTTTCAGAAAAAGCCACTTGAATTCTGGTGTTGTATGAATTTTCATTCATGTTTTTCAACTTCACGCCAAATGTCAGTCTTTTGTTTTTACTGGTAACAAGAAAATACTGTTTGTTGTTTCTGGAGAAGGAAACAAAATAAAAATGAGTCCTGGGTTTCCTAGAGGTCTGTTTCTGCAGACACTTTCCCTGCTGCTCATTACCTCCTTCATTCTATTTTACTTCTTAAAGTTTATTTTAAATTTCAACTTAATGTTAAAAAGCTGCCATACTGTAAAGTGGGTGTCCTCCATGTATCCATTTCCTTTAGTATCCACAAATGTTAAAGATATTCACTGATCCCTCCAAAAGTAGAGACTTATTCTCATCTAGGAAACATTATGGATTATAGTTATCTTATACTTCTTTAAAAAAACAGTGATATCTTCCCTCCTTTTTTCTTTCCTTCCTCCCTCCCTGCCCACCCACTCACAAAGGGCTGGATATGCATTCAAGAGTGATATGAGCAAACATTCAATAATTCACGTATGATAATTATTACTCCCATTTATTTTTTCCCAGTGATAGAATCAGTGTAAACTTGTTCAATCCTAAATTCTGGATTTTAAAGCTTTATTCTTCTCCTTTCTAAACATCTACGTTTATTTTCAAACCAGACAGCTCACTTTCTATTATGGAACAGAATGATGAGATAGTAATACAAGCATTTCTTACCCAATGTTTTTCTGTTCAACTTCCAGAATGAGATCTGTCTTGCAAACTTCATCTTCACCGCAATCTTTGACAAATGGTATCTAGAAAATATAAAAGCAACCCAAAGCTTTTCATCTTCTTTGTTCAAAGCAAAGGATCTAGGTCTATGTCTCTCTTATTACAGCATTTCAACTGCTGATTTGTGCTTTTATGATTGGAACAAGTATATTTCTGGGTATAAATCTGCATTAAGCAAATACTAATGCATCTCCAGATTTCACCTTCTGCACAAAGAATAGAAAAATTCTGTGAGATATATAAATATGGAAAAGGAAACAAGCACAGAGAAAACAGATACAGACCTAGATAAACAGATTTTGTCAACTAAGCCATAACTTGCAGACACAGTAATGCAAGAGGATGCTTTGAAAGCTCTTTATTCACTCTAGAGAATATGCATTACCCATGTTTCAGGAACTTCTTAACACCCTCTTTCTTCATCCAAGTATTCTCTGGATTAATATTATGTTACAAATATTCTTCCCACACCTTCTTATTTTACATGTCACGTTTTAAAATCTCGCACTATTACCTTTATTACATATGCCACTTCAAAATGTTCTGACATCAATTAAAGGAAAATATTTTTTTTCATTTTTTTATAACACCAAGATCACTTATTGACCACAAGAAACAAAGTCATAAATCTGCAAGACTCAATTAACAACCGCATCACTTAATGACACAGGTTCTGGTCCAAATTGGGACCATAAGTTACTTGTAGGACTATCATGTCCTACTTACTGTGGGTTTTTTAATGAATATCTTATTCGGTATTGTGGGAAAAGATGTTGTATTATATGGGCCTTTAGTTTGGTCTGTAAATGAAAGAAAATTCAATTACTGTAAATGCAAGTGGAGTCTTGTTAAAAAAAATAATTTTATTGATTTATAAATTAAAATTAAAAAAGTAATAGAGAATTAGAAAAGGGGGAAGTCACAACTTTTTGCTTTTACACAACAATATGTACAAACCATTTCTATAACAATACACCTATCTGGTTTACAAAAATAAAGTTTTCATTTTCTTTTTCATTGCAAGCACAAAATCTGGAAGCAATTTCAAGATAGAAGCTAGCTTAAATGTAGGAGGAGAGAGCAAGTGGAGTCTTCAGTAACTGGTGACTTTGTGCCTCCTAACAGGATTTTTTTGGCTCAGCATCTTTATGTGGTATGGAAGAATCTCAAATTTGTAATTTTCACCCCTCTCTGGAGGCAAACATTTGCTATAAGGTTTACAGGAAAATGCACTGGTAACTTCTGTATAAAAGATGCAATATATAAACCAACTAAATAATCGACATTATTAGTACTACGACTATCACTACATTTTATTTTTGTTTGTTCTAATTATGGAGCTGATACTCAGGCGGGCGACATCCTTAAATCAATAACATTGTAATATTGCAATCACACCTAGTTTTCAGAAACCATGAACATATCCATCCTGTCCGTGCAGCAACTTGTTAAAAACACATAAAAAGAAAGCATATTAATTTACTTACGCTGTAAACAAGAGTGGTAGGAGATGTTTTATCAAGAACAGGGCTTGAGTTGGGGTTCTTCAGCGCAATATCAATACGCACGTTAAGGGAGTCAATAGCATCAGAAGGAGTCTATAAACATATAAATGCACACAAAGCATAAATATCCACACAAACCTTTAACTTGCTTGCTTGTTTCTTATTTTAAATTTTTATAGCTAATGGCTGATAACATTAAAATATTGCTTGATAAGGCCCTTCTGAACATTTCAATAGGACATGTTTACAAATAAAGTTATTTTTAAAGATGCAACTTTTTCTGGCTTGCATTTATTCAATTGATATCCAATACCTTGGGAAGAAAAACTGTCAAGCTAGCCAGTCAGATGAAATTGCTCCCCTAGCAGATTAGCTCAATGCCAGAGCACAAGAGATAGGCTCAAAGCAATATTTGCTCTAATATGAACCTGGCCTAGTTGAAATTGTGATTGTGCTCTTATACAAGTAATATCACTTTCAGATTTGAGATTGTTGGCAACTGGAGACCCTTTGTTTGTTGGTGGTCACATCCCAGTGATAACAGTTTTCCCAAATGCTTCTGACACTTTTAATTTTAAACACCAGGTGAGAGCACATTTACTCTGATGAGCATTTCATGGATAGCTGAGTTTATTCTTGATGTTACTGTATTCTTGTTCTATTTACCTCTGATTTTATTAATACTAATTACAAGGTTTTATAAATCAGAGGTCCCCAACCTTTTGCACACCAGGGACCGGTTACATGGAGAGAGGTTTTTCCACAGACCGGAGGGGGCGTGGTTTTGTGTGCTGCCTGCATCCTGTGGGTGGGGCTTTCCTTATTTGTGCAGTCCAGTTGCTGGCATGCAGCAGCCTGGTATTGGTCCAAGGATTGGGGGTTGGGGACCCCTGTTATAAATAACCAAATATATATCATGTAATACTAATACATTATATGAAAGCTATTTTCTAATTTTCCAGACAAAAATGTCCATTATACATATCTGCAGATTTTATTCCACTTCTTCAGAAATACAATCTGATCAAACATTTAATACTATGTCCTTAATTTGAAAGCACCTAGATTCATTTTTTTACACATGTCAAATATTGGTGAACAAAATTATTGCCAATGGGCTACATATGCTTCTCAGCACCTAATTTGTGATCCTTAGAATACCCCAAGATCATTGCGCTGCAATTTGGTGGCAAAACAGCCCATTTTTTACAGCTCTGGGGAGAATTTAAGGATAGGACTGAAGGGCAAGACCTCCATGAGGCAAAATGCTCTCACTGCCATCTTTATGCTGCTGCCCAAATTGAAACCTGAGTGAAAAACAGGCTAAAATGTCAGACCTGCATCTTCTAATGACATCACATCATAGGAAAGGTTTTGGCTGCCTGCTGTTCAGGTCAGGAAGCTGAGAGTTAAGGACAAGGGTCTCAAAGCAGCAGTCAAGTTCTGATACATGGCTTGGGTAATTCTGGGCTATTTTTTACCTGCACGTTAAAAGTATGATTCACACATGTCTTCAGAGGGTGGACTACGATACTACTCTGCAGAGACCTCTCATTGTTTTCTTTAAATAATCCTCTAGAGATAACGCGTGAAGATAAGAGATCCGCATCCAAAGTTAGGTTGTATCTAATATCTAAAGGTGGAAACAATGATATAAATGTCAAGATACAGCCTCAAGTTGCAAACCAACCTATTTTTTAAACTGAGAGTAAGGCCCTCTATACATTTTCAGATATATTTCTAGGCAAACAACCAATGAACTTAAAAAGAAGAGGTATTCTCAGTCATGATAGTATCAAGAATAAAAAAAAAGCCCTCTAACCTGGATTCTCCAGGTTGCACTAAATGTATTAGATTACAAATTCTATATGTCATAGCACCAGTGCGTAGTAGGACAGCACTGCATTGGGAATATTGCCATAAACTAACAAAATAGTCACAAAATAAAGAAACGGTTATTGGGAGAAAGACTATGAAATACTTGAAATGTTTCAAATTTATTTTCAAATTTGAAAACAATAAGATAAAATAATGGAGAAATATTCATCATTCTGTAATGGTATTATTATTGGATTTGACAATTAAAATGTTCAAAAACTACTATTTAATTGCTATTATTTCTGAATACACAGTACTAAGTACTATATATTTAGAAATAATAGCAATTAAAATAATATTATTGTTATAGTAGCAGTTAAAAGTAGTATGATTATTATATTTTTGGTAGATTTTGCAGCAATAAGGCCAGTTCATTAAAACAAATTTATACATTTTAAAGAGTTTTGCATTGCATCCAGATTAGTTTGTGTGTATGATAGAGAGAGAATTTTATTTAGCTGACAATTGCAAATGTCTCCAATGAAAGGATGTGTGCAAATTAACTTTGGGAAATACTCACCCACTTTGTCACTCCTATGGATAGGTCTAAAAGTTACACCAAAACATATATTTAAATCTACTTCTGTGTTCTTGTTCTGCAGACTGATCTTCGTAGGAGTAGATAAAGCATGTAAAGTCACATTGGCTATACTCTGTGACCTAAAACAGAGGCAGGCAGAATTTTCTGTGATCCCAGTCATAAAAAGGGAAAAAAAGTGCTCCAGCTTTATATCTAGAATTTACAGAATTAATCTGAAACCGAAATAGCTGCAATCTATCATTAGGAAATACATTTCTCTAAGTATCTGATTGCAAAATTCCTGATTAATTATGTATACAGGAAACACAACAATTCTTTTAAAAGTATCTTGAAAAGATAGAGACATCCTAAAGAGGGCTTTTCAACCTTTTCACCCATTGTACCACTTTTAGGATACGGTAACATCCGAGTACCACCAGTCGCCTAGCAAGGTGTCAAAAACTTGATGACCCCCCAAAAAGGAAAAAAGTGATAAAGTACAGATAGTCCTCAACTTACAACAGTTCGCTTAGTGACTGCTCGAAGTTATAATGGCACTGAAAAAAGTGCCCCCCAAGCCACAGCCAAGCAAGACACCAGCCTGCCTGCCCAGCAGCACTTTTCCTCCTGTCCGAGGTTTTCTTTGTTGTGAGCATTTCTGTTGAGGATTGACAGTGGGGGTGGGATGGGGGGATGTTTGGTTTTTATTCCCCCCGTCTGCTGGATGGTTGCAGGAGATTTTGGTCACTTCACATGATCCTCGGACACTGTGACCATCATAAATATGAATCAGTTGCCAAGCATCTGAATATAAATCACAAGACCCTGGAGATGCTGCAACACTCCACCTGATCGGCGCGTCTTCTGGGCTCAGCAGAAGTGCCAGGATCAGTGCTGCTTTCCAGCTGATTGGTGCTTCTTCAGGGCTCAGCAGAAGCACCAGGATCAGCGCCAAGCTCCAGCTGGAGCCTGGCGCTGATCCTGGCGGTTCCGCTGAACCCTGACAACCCTGCAGCTCCAGCCATCTCGCTCAGGCTTGTGCGGTGCTGCCACTGGTTCAGCTCATTCCCCTCCCCCTCTCTTTTTCTAGGATGGTTGCATACCACCTGCCAGGTGCCAATGTACCACAGGTGGTACCCGTACCACTGGTTGAAAAGCTCTGTCCTAAAGAATGGTAAAAAATAAAAGGCTTTCAGGCATGTGGAACAGCAAAAACTAAATACTTCGCCAACTGTAAATCTATTTCCTGTCCATATATCTGTGGATATACGTCTATGTGTCCATATGTATCAGGGACACATGTACATACTGTCCATATGTATCAGGGACATGCAGCACTTCAAACTGAAATGTCAGAAGGTGACTTGACATCCTGACAACCATATTTTCTTCTGGTGTAGCATGTTTGTCCTTTATAGTTGGCACATAATCCCAGGAAAATATGTTTTTATTTTAACGATTTGGCATATAGAAAGAGAGTGTGTTCCTATCTCCTCTGAAAACTCTTTTGCCTCTGAAACTGAAACATAACCACAATTATATCTAATCTTTCTTGAGAAGCTATGTTTTTTTTCTTCCATTCAATCATGTTCAAGTCTCAGAGATTACGTAGACAATTCTCTGCAGAAATAGTTTGCCATTGCCTCCTTTCTAGGGATGAGAAAGGTCACTTAGGTGGCTTCATTTCCAAAGTAGGACTTGAATTTGTAGTCTCCCGATTTCTAGCTTCATGCTTTAAGCACTATACCAAACTGGCTCTCTAAGTTAAATCTATCAAATTAGTCTTGCCTTAACTTATCCTTTTTGCTCCTTACACTATATTGTTCAAAACCTTTATGTTTTTCTTTCAATGGTTTAAGCCTGGTTTTAAGAGCAACTTGTGATCATACTGCTCTCACTGGCTTGGAAGACATATTTCTTTGCATTTTATATTTGCTCAAGGACAGACACTGTACTGTCCCATTCAAAGTGGCCAGCCCAGCTGTTGGATATAAGATTCAGATCTGTAACATGATCTATAACTGATGGCTGCATCTTTTTATGAGAACCAAAAGCAAGAAATTCGAGCTTTATGTTTAAATGTTCAAAATGCTATTGATTACATTATAACTATGCTAATAATCTTTTCTAGATCTTTTTCTAAATGCCAATTAGATTGGAATGAAATGCATATTTGGAGGATCAGGTCTGATCACATGGTGGACCAAATCTTCTGATGTTTTTTTTATATACATAGAAATGTATCAATAGCACTTAGACCTATACAGAGCCCTCTCTAAGCGGTTTACAGAGTCAGCCTATTGCCTCCAACAATCTGGGACCTCATTTTATAGATCTAGGAAAGATGGAAGGCTGAGTCAGCCTTGAGCCGGTGAGAATTGAACTGCTGAACTGCTGGCAGCTGAATTAGCCTGCAGTACTGCAGTACTGCATTCTAACCATTGTGCCACCACTATGTACTTAAACCATGGTTGTAGATTACACTGGCACAGCATAAGTCTTCATATGTGATAATCATGCTGACCCAGTCTGAGTCTGGCTGTATGCATGGATAAATTCATTTTATATGCAGTTTGTCAATTAGAGTACAGTCTGGAGGAAAGCTAATTCAAGTGGGGAGTTTTTTCCTTTAAGGTATTTTCTTTATTTCCTTAAAAATCTTCTACTCACCAGAGTTGAATCACATTTCCACTGGCACCCACAGATACATCAGTAATTCCATCATCATTTAAATCAATATGGCCATCTACTGATCTTCCAAAATACTGGAATTGCTGAGCAAATGCGGGGCTTGATCCAGAAATTTTCTTTAAAGTTAAAAGCAAAACAGGAATGTTGACAAACTAAACAAATAATTAGCAATTAATGTTACAATCAAAGCAACAATATCAGATAGCATTAAAAAGGTATACCATCATACATAGTTAAAAAAAAACAACAGCGCAACTGATCTGGTTTTTAAACACAATATAAATTTAAACATTGACTTTCAATTGATCTTAGACTATAAGGTCATCCATATGAGAAATTTCATGATTGGCAATTCACCAGTGAACACACTGCAATGATAAAAATGAAGCCAGCTGAAATATTAGCTACATGCCTGCCAATGAAAATATATAGCAAAATAAAATTTCTGCAAGTCTGGAAAAATATTGTTTAGGCAAAGAACAAAAAATAACACATCCTAAATCAAAACTGTTCTGCACAATAGAGCATCATACTCCTTACCTGGGAATACTTAGTACGTAAAGTCTTTTGTTTACCATTATAAATGTATATAGAACCAGTATTCTCATTTTCTAATGGTGCTCCAACTATCACATCATTAAAACCATCCAGATCAATATCAGAAACAGCAGTGATAGCAGATCCATACTGAGCATTTTCCAGTCCTTCAGGACCTTCAAGGAATTCTCGTTTGTCCAAAATTCCCTTTGATAAAAGATCAAAAGGAATGGAAATGAAACACAAGGGAATTTAGGTTAGTGTTCTATTAATTTATTAACTTAAGATTATGATACTGAAATACATTTTTTAAAAATAAATATAGGGAACATTGGAAAAAATTGGGGAGGGGAACCTAGGGATATGGAAGTTAGCCATTTTACAGAATCCTTTGTGTGTTTTTTTTGCTTTTAACGGGGTAACAGAAAAAGAAACAAAACACAAAGATAATTATAATATAAATACATACAATCTTAAATAAAAATGCATAAAATTGCTTTTAAAAATGAAAAAACTGCATCAGAAAACAGAAAAAAATTCCCAACAAAACCCAAATGTTCATTAGATAAATATATTGTAACTGTTAATTGATATGATATCTTATACATTTTATAGGTACCTTTGTGACTGTGAACATGTAGACTCTTCCTTCCTCTTTTTTAAAATTATTCATAAACATTGGTGCACCAACCAAAAGCACATCTGTTATGGAGTCTCCATTGATATCAACAGAGCACACAACACTGCCAAAATAAGAACCAATCTGAAATGACACAATCATTGCTATCAAACGGGGCATGGAAGCCATACTTCATCGGAAATTTATGTGAATAGTGCACAGCATTGTAAACATGTAAAATTATCATTACGAAAATACAAATAAAGATTTGTTATAATGTCTACTTTAGAAGCAGAGTTTTTCACTACAAAGAGAATAAATATACAACTGTGAAAGCTTAGCATTAAATGCAATACTTGCCTGCTCTCCTTTTTGAGAGTCAATGATGATTATGTTGCCATAGTCATCAACCTCATACACCACAACTCTGCCAGTGTAATTGGAACGGGGAGCACCAGCAACAAAATAGACTGAGTTTTCCATGGAAAGAACAGCGAGAGAATAACCTGAAAGTCCAAATTATATTTATAAGAGCTTTGAAATATTTGCAAATGGGAAAAATCAAGATACTAAATTTATACTGATTAGTTTAAATTTGTAAATTTATTTAAAATTTTTAACTATCTAATTCTTAAATGCTGCTTAGAAGTTTCAGTACTTAACACTCAGGAAATTTTCCCCAACCTAATCCTTCTAGACCTATCCTCTAAAACTGGTACCGATATCCAGATATTTTGGACTATAACTCCCAGAATTCCCTAGGAAATATTATCTGAGACAGTGATTTTTAACTTCAGTCATTAATTTGTTGCCTTTTAAAAGAACTAAACAGGACTTACAAATGTTCAGCTACATTGAACAAATATTCTACTGCGGCTTTTTGAATTAGTGTTCTCACCTAAGTAGGAATTCTGACTGTTTTGCAAAACATTTTGAAATGTTGTATTGGGAAATATAATGTCTTTTTCTCCTCTCTTCTGGACCACTGTTCCAGTCCATTCATAGGCTCCAACAGCACCCAACATGAGCACTTCCTTAAGAGAAAACCAAATCAAGGCAAATATTTAAATTAATAACTTCTAGTGATGCAGTTAAAATATTGTGAGTAGTGCTCACAAGTTCAGAGACTTCTAATAATATCCTATGAAGTTTACTCCATTCTTTATTCTAAGTAGCAATACCTTCCACTGTCATAACTGATATTCTTGAAATGAGAGATGCAGGTGTCAGAGACTAACACATTTTTCTCACATCACTGTGGCAATTTAATCTCATGAAATATTGAAAAGGCTAAATCACATGAGCAGACTGGCTTACACAACTATTTTTACAGGTATATTACTAAATCATATTATTTATACATGCCTGTAAATCCCACGTACATATTACCACCATGGGAACGGATTACGGACATCATAAGGGGAGACTTCAGGCTCCATTATGTCTAAATCATATCTTTGGTCTATCTAAGGGAAGCAGTGATAACACAAAGTCATGATCGGCTTCTAATTGTCTAGATAATTACTAGCCAGTCTCATATCTGTTTTAAGAAAGATTCTGGAAAGGCAGTAGTGCCACAACTTCAGATTTTCTGAATAAAGAAAAATGTCTTGGAGATTTGCTGTTCTTTATTCACTGTATTGGTTTTAATGTTATTATTATAAGCAGATTAAAAGCTATTCAGAGTCTTCTCTGAAATGGAATATAAAACTGAGCCAAACAAACAAACTGATCCAGTCTTAATCTAAGTTCAGCACTTTTAGGGGTGTGTGTGAAAAAAAATCCAATTTAAATTGGCATTCCCAAGATAGTGTGGGTGTTCAATGTTGCTCCCATTCCAATACATTTTTTTATAGTATCTCCATTACCTTTTGATGTGAATAAGAAGCACTGAAACCCACTTGTGACATTTCCATCTGGAATAAATCACCTTGATCAGTGCCTGGTGAGAAGAAAAAAATATATAATTCATATACTTAACACCACTATTCCAAACAATAAACAAGGATATTACACAGAAATAAGCCACAGTTTTAAAGAAACAATAAAGAATGGCATGGTGGCCTAGTGATAAAGATGCTCGCCTTTCACTCGGAAGATTGAGAGTTCAATTCTAGGTAGCAGCCTAGGAGATGTTTTATTCCCAGGACGCAAAGAAAAAAAATATCTGCTGCAAATTCTGCATAGACATCAGGAAGGGCATCTGGCCAGCAAAACGCTCAGTTCCATCCAATCACCCTGACTATACCCCAAATAGGGACTACTACAGGGTCATAAAAAGAGAGTTTTAATTGAGATACAATAAGGACTGCAGGCTTAGATAAAGGCTTTCATCCATAGTGTGAATATTTTAAATAGCTAAATACCTAGTCATAATAACAGAGTTGGAAGGGGACATTTAAGCTAGTGAGTCCAACGTTATGCTCAATGTAGGAATCCAGATTAAAGCATCCCAGATATACGCTTGTCCATCTGCTGCCAAATCTAGCAATTTAGCCTGCTTTATTCCCCAACATTTCTGATCTTATGTCTTTTCCCTCACACTCACATGTAATGGATTGTTTGCTATTTGTTTCTGGCTTGGGTATGAATCCCATCTGGTTTTGATTCAATCCTTCACAGATTTAGCCTCACAGGGTTTGCATGTGTGTGTGTGTGTGTATATGCAAAAGAGAAAGACTATATATTGTATATGAAAAATGAGTTAGGGATCAACTGCATTTAGAAATGAGGTATTTTATTTGAAAGATAATTAATTTTAACCAGTAGCTTTAATTCATTTTTTTGCTGTTAATATTCTTTTTTAAATGCAACCTTGGGTCTGCCCATATGCACCCAGATATACAATGTGTTATGTCTGCAGGCAGAAAACCATTCCCAAAATTAGTTTAAGAGAAAGCTGTAAACTTAGACAAGATAGAGAGGTTGGGCAATATGAAAGAGTTTTGGGGGTCTTGTAAGCTATTTGATTTTTCTTTGGGTGGGGAGGCATTATCAGGCCTTGTTATTTCAGGTAAACATGATAATATGCCCTGCAACAGAAAATTTGTCATACTTTTTTGAAAAAATATGAGTTATAAGATTCTTCTGATATTGATAAATATCTTTAGGAACATTTTTTTAATACTAAATCCTATTTTTGCTCTCTATTTACTGTAAATTGTCTATCCTTCCCCTTATACATAGGATTTGCCTTTAATAACTTAACAACTCATCACAGAAATTCCAGAAACTGATCATCACATATTTTGCATTTTTAAATGCAGTTTAAAAAACAGTATATTTGTTACCTTCCAAGCTGAAAATTCGTTCCCCAAGTGTTCCTGCTTGTTCTAAAAGAGCTTCCTCAGAGGACACATTAAAAAAATATTTTGATGTAGGGTGGCTAGCAATTGCTTTGATTTCTTTGATAAGTTTTTCAGTATCCATAAAATTTCTAATTAAATATCCTAATACCTAGAAAAATATAAGAACGAAAAAAACATATGTAATAAGAAACGGAAAGAAGCACTATACAAGGAATCTGAAATTTATTTCTCTTTTATTACGTTAGCAGTGAGAGATCAATGAAACAAATCATTGAGTTTTTTTAAATAAATTTAATTTTCTCCCTTCACCAAAAACACAGTAATGAGAACTAAAGACGTGTAAAGATAACTTTTTAAATTCAACCAAATGCCTCTTTTCTCAGGATCATGCTAAACTTATGGAGAGCAGCCAGGCAATCCTGAGAAACGATGTAACAGTTTAAAGAGTTGGTGTTCTGTAAGAAGCTTTTTGCTTTCTGAAGCCCCTTTTTTGCATTTGATTTCAAAATGTTGTGTGACGATTTCTATTGCCATCTAAAGCAATGTTTCTCAACCTCAGGAACTTTAAGTCTGTGAACCTCAAATCTCAGAATCCCACACATCTTAAAATTCTTGCAGTTGAGAAACACTGATCTACAGTATCAGAGCAACATAGTTTTTATTCAATTTTCCCACAAGGCATACATCAATAAACCTATTCAAGGAGCTTTATGCAGAGAAGTGATGCAACCGAACTCTCAAATGCAAGATTAAGACGCAGGCCTGATCCTGGGTGGGATGGCTACATTCACCAAAAGAAGAACTGATTTGAGGATATGGCTCTGGCTGTTGTTTTATCAAGAGGTGGTAGATCTTTAGACAAAGTCTTAGAAAACAGAAGATAATTAAAGACAATTATATTTGTCTGAACCTGATTCTTAGAAAGGTTTATTGATATACGTCTTGGGGGAAGATTGATTTCTAATTTGATTTAGTACTATTGTGATTTCATATGTATCAAAACTCACCCAGAGTCTTTTGATTTGAGTGTGCTATAAATATTTTAAAACATTTTTTTTAAATTATTTACATAAGGCCAACAGAAACTAGAGCAACAAGAATGAAAATTTTACTTACGGCTATCCCAAACCTTGTAATATTATCTGCATTGCATTTAGCTATTACTTCTGGCAACTTTGAGCCATCATGCGATTCACCATCTGTGACAACCACCATGACCTTTGAGGCTGTTGGTCTCCCACCTGCTTGTTTTGTGAAAGCATGTTGTCTGTAATAAACCACAAATGCAATTCACATGACATGAATCTTGCTTTTTATACATGATTCCATTACCAGTTTTCTCTAGCAACAAAATAAAATTGTGGGAACAGTAACCTTTTGGTATAGAAATAATTATTCCAACTTCATTTTAATCTGGGATCTGCAACCACATGGGGCCACAGGACTTCATTTTCATCTTCCCAAGTCCTCAGGATCAGGCTGTTGAAATTCAACAGCAAACCATCCAATTGCAAAGATGTTTGCTCCTCATGATTATCAGAAGACAATCAAAGTGAGAAGATCTGTATGCTATTGGATTTGCTTAATATATCTAAAAAAATACATAGATCCCAATCCATCCAAGCAAATAAAAACACTAAAAGTCCTATCCATAACTAATAGGTTATCAGAACCATGCTTCATTGTTGATTTAAAAAAAGGCTTTTTCATGTCAAATTCAAGTCACCATATTTTATAGCACTTAGCACTCAGATTCCTTTGTATTAAAAAAAAACCATTTACCAGAATTGGACATTGCTTTAAGTTTTACCTGGCATATTCAATGGCTTGGAATGTATTAGTTTCCGCACCTCCATTTTGAATGGTTTCTGACATTGCTTGTTCAACAGCTTTTTTGTCAGTGTAGGTATTCAGGTTGAAAACAACTGTTGGGTAAACGCCATACTGAATTAAGCCTACCTAAAATAATTGTTAAAAGAAATAAAAAGTAAAGCAACACAAACACGCTTCATTAATCTGTTTCCCTTCATTCTACAAACTGTGGGCTTATTTTTCAATTTGTGCATAGACCAAAACTTTCTTAGTATGGTTGTATCCTATGGATGCAAAACTTTAACATTTATTTCTTTCCATACACTGCAGGCCAACTCTTGCTTCCAAGAACAGTTCCTGAGGACTGTGGAATTCAGTAATAACCCAGGTAAACTGAACTTGTAAAATAAAAACTATTTTGGTAGAAAGAGCTTTAGAAGATTTTTCCATATCAATCAATTTTCTGCTCTGATCTGGCAACATCTGGAATATGATATCACAGGACATTGTAGGTGGGTTGTACCATCCAAAGTTCACTGTTACATTTCATGCAGCAAAAGTGTTTTCTATTAGTACAAAGACTGCCAATATACACAAAACATTGTCTGAGAAGGGAATATAATCAAGAAGGAGCATTGTTCTATACAAAATTGGATTAAAATTCTTTTTGAATATTGATTCCAAGAAAACACGATAACACTATGGACACCAAGTTGAAGCCTTAGTCATTTCTTGCAAATGCTTTTTATCACCATACATCATGATGTCTACCATTTAATTATACTACCCTGAATTAAGTATAATTGGTTGGATTCACACAATATCATAAGTCAAAACCAGATCAACCAAGTATAGTTTAGTGGGTACTATGAACCGGAGGGTACTCTATTAATAAAAAAATGAATTCAAATTCTCTATTAAAAATTGGATTTCTTCATAGCAATGATAATATTGGCCCATTTCTTCTCTATAGAGTCATTTCATCAGGCAAGGTCAATGATTTGCAGGCCAATTCGATACCAGTAACAATGAAATGATACATCACAACAGTAGTAAAAATGGGTTAATTCAATTGTTCCTTATTTTCTAATAAGGAACAACAAACATCCATTTGCCTCAGCTATGGAACAAAAATACATAAAAATAAGAAAAGGAAAAACTAGTACTAATATTATGGAGGCTCCCTCAATTTATCTTAGGAGAAATTGAAGACCTAGTAGTAATTTGATGATAACAATAGCACTTTGACTTATATAGTGCTCCATAGCCCTTTATTGCACTCTCTGAGCAGTTTGCAAATGTCAGCATATCACCCCCAACAATTGGGTCCTCATTTTACCGACATAGAAGGGTGGAAAGCTGAATCAACATTGAGCCCCGTCAGGATCGAACTCCTGGCTGTGGGCAGAGTTTGTCTGCAATACTGCATTCTAACCACTGTGCCACTAGGGCTCTTCAGCTTTAATTCTTATATTTTATCATTTTGTTGTTTCTGCTTCTCACGCTAAAATTGCAGAAAAAAGGACTTTGTGGCTAAGAAAAATAAATATTTTGTCAAGGAACCAAAATCTACATTTGCATTTATATTGTTTTAATTTGCTTACCTGTGTTTTTGTTGGCCCTATATCTAAACCTTGAACAAATTTTTTCAAAAAGTTTTTCACAGCTTCCCATGGATAAATACTATATGACGCATCACATATGATCACCACATCAATGGCTGAAGAACAGTCTGATAAGAAGAGGATAGAAATCATATTTCGCTAAGAATTCTCTCCTTTGAAACCTGTGTCACTTGGTGTTAAATATTCACAGAGTTAAAGATTTTTGCAACTTGCAATTAAATTCCATTCCTCCTAACAACGAAGTACTGTCAGTAGCGCAAGAAGACTATCCTTAATATATTGAAAGGAAAGCTGCCTTATTCAAGTGAGGAGAAATCACCATCTCCATTTTTAAGAGGAAAAAAAGATATAGGTAGTCCTTGTTTAGCGGCCACAATTTGGAGCAGCAACTCAGTCTTTGAGTAAAGCAGGTGCTGAGTGAAACTGCAACTATGCTAATGGTTTTCCTTCAGTTTTCCTTTGCTTTACAGACCTGCAAAGGTACGAAATGCGAGGATTTGTCAGAATCACTATCCTAACTGCAAATGGTCACTAAATAAGACAGTCACTAAATGAGGACTACCTGTATTCTTTTCAGGATTACAGGACATTGTGAAGTGGAAAGTACAGAGATTTAACTCTCTCCGTACTAAATGCAATGAGGCAGCCACAGCTTCTACTTCAATCCTATTGCTGCCGTCATTCCCCTCCAGAAGCTATTTGATCTTCTAACGAGCTGGAGAGAGAAGATAATGAAAAAGATTAGGAAGAAAAAGGGCAGGAGGAGGCATATATATCTAGACAAAGCAGAAAGTGAGATAATTACATTTGTATGGATGTTTGCTACGATCATTCAAAATGTAAATAGTAAATACTAAAACATAATATGGAGCCTTGCTTTCTTCTATATTATTTTGTTAGTTACCACTTAAAGTGGTCCAGTATACTTGCTCATCTAAACTGAAAATATAAAAGCTTTTTAAAATTCCCCAAATAATATGGGCAAGGGGCCAAATATACCATTAAACATTTCTATAATCACAGCATTTAGCCTACAATCACAATGGTCTAAACATATAAAAAAAAATCTAGCAAAAATAATTATTGCTAAATAGCTCTCTCATGCAAATCTAGAAGAGTAACATTTCTAGTTCGAAAGGCACATGAAAATTCATTATACTTAAAGGCTGCACCGCTTACCCTATATCAGTGATGGCAAAGCTTTTAGAGACTGAGTGCCCAAAAACTGGCCCTGCCCCCGCTCTGCCCCCCATCCCCTGCCCCGTCTGCCCACAGGACCACTCCCCGCCTCCAGGGCCCACCGCAGATTGCCCAGGCAGCCCAGCAGCACTATGGCAGCCACACCCTCTGCCCACGCCCTGCAGCATCAACTGCATGATGGGGTGTGAGGGCAGAGTCTTGTCTACGCTGCCTGGCTGCCATGTCCTTGGCTGCGCTGCTCTGTGTGGGCCACGCTCGAGGGCGAGTCTCCTTCAGGGGGACTGCTGGAGAGGAGGGGGTCGCGGGAGGAGGCAAGGCTGGGGCAACAGCACGTGTACACACAGAAAGGGCTTCGAGTGCTGCCTCTGGCACCCGTGCCATAAGTTTGCCACCACTGCCCTATATTAAGTTTCCAAATATGGGCTGCAGAAATCTTGGTAATTATTAGGTGGCAACAATGAGATTCAAAAACTTCTGAATGCTTCTGCCACTTAGTAACCACCTGGAGTTTTGCAATCCAAATCTGGCAATCCTATATTTCATGCATTTATTGTGTCCCATTTTTCATACAACTCTTATTAAAGTGTGTTGGCACTTATTGCCTTACTTTGCACTGCAGGTGAAAAACTTCTGAGGATCTGAAAACTGGGATCAAATTCAGAACAGATTCCTGTTGCATAGTACTGGCTTCCACACTGTTGAGCCCACAAAGGACCACAAGCCTTAAAAACAGAAAGTGAAATAATATTCTAAAACAAAACCAAAAATACAGCATCAGACAGTAAAGCAAACATAGCTTTGATCTCTTTTCCCCCACAGATGACAGATTTATGGCATATTTTTCACAAATGTGCCAGAGCTTTTTAAACACACGCTTTGATGAACAATCCAAAGGGACTAGCATAATGATCAGCCTTAAAAGGTGAAGCTCACACTAAACCAAAACCAAGCAAACTACACAGGTCTTTTGCCTGATGGTGCAATGGACTGTATTTCTCTTATAAGTTTGTACTGCTCACACAATGTCCTAAAATCACCAGCTGTTTGCCTAGCACACTCAGCGCTCTGGCACTAGCACATTTTCTTTGATAAGTATTCCCATTGTATGTTAGTTTATTCTCTTGTAATCCCTTCTTCTCCAATTTCTCTACTCTGCAAGGGGAATGGAAAATGTATCACACACTAGAGAGATTGCCTAAAGAGGGTTTTTTTTCCTCTTTTTTCCTTCCCTTGCATTCTCCTTTCCCTGACACTTTATTTTTTCCCACTCCCCCACCTCACAGAGCAGAGAGATTGAGGTGGAAAGGATTACAAGAAAGTAATCAGGGATACAATGGGGAATATACTAGTTTTTCACCTACTGTGCTTGGGGCTTTGAATATTTGTGCAGAATCTTAGTTTAAACACGCAATGTCCATAGTTTTTTGTCTCCAAAAACAAAACAAAAAAAGGAAGACAATGACAAATTCCAAGAAAAAAAGCAGAACTCCAGGCAGTTTTACATTATTATTAAAATTATTTATTTATTAATAACAGCACACAACATTTATCACCTATGTGTACAGGTGAGCTACTTTTGCTTAATAAACAATTGGATCAGACAGATCTTGGTGATTGGCTCAGAGAAGAATTGGGGAACCCTGAGCATTTCTAGCAGACCCACAAATTGAATTACACCATAGACCAGGAATGTCAAACTGCCGGCCCATGGGCCGGATGCGTCATGCCAAAACTGCGCCCACCCCATTGTTGGCAATGGGGAAAAAGTCACAATATGTCATGTGACATCGCGAGTTTGACATGCTTGTCATAGCCCAAGGGTAGCTAAACTCCAGTAAAGTTGCTGAATTTCTGAAAATATCTATATTGCAGTATGCATAATTTTTCAATGCATCCGCTTTTAGTAGTTCCCATAAATGCTGCACTATGTTGGAATAATCTCTGTAGTATAGGAAACATTATCCACAATGCAAGGAAGTCATAAGGGACTTGTCTGCAATATATAAAACTAAACCTACTGAACTGCACTTTTCAAGACTATGTAAATAATGTACTCTAAAAGGTTTCTCCAAACGTAATTTCAAATCTCATTATCAGTAAGCACAAAAAATGTTGCTCGAACTGCAAAAGTGAACTCTACTTTTAAGTTTACTTCCTCACACTTCTTGCATTAGAATTAAATACATATGTAAAATTGAATTAGATTAAAAAAGATTTTAAAGAAATAATTCCAAGTACAGTACAGTTCTTCACATTATGGCCACATGTGGACATGGAGTTGGATCTTCAGAAAGTACGTTTGAGGACAGGGGCCATCATAATTTTGAATGGTTGCTAAGCAACTGATCGTAAATTGACAACTATCTGTAAATTACATTTAACAATGTATAATACATAAATTACTTATTTGTTATGACAGAGTATAGTGTAGTGGTTAAGATCTTCGATGTTGATCAAGAATTTGCATGGTCAAATCCCTAGCCACTCATGGAATTCATTAGGTAACAAGAAATTAAACGTTTATATGAAAAAACTCAAAACCTATATCAGATTTTAGATTACTGAGTCCCAATCCAATATGGTATTTTTAAGTGTTTGTGATAAGTGTTTGTGACAGGAAAACAAGAATTATAATAGGACAAGTAAAAGGCATTTGTTACATTGTCCTCCTTGTTTAGAGCTTATCTAATGGAGTTCTCTTTAAATATAGCAGAAAGACAGAAGCTTCCTAATGTGAAAAATCCCTGGTCTAAAAGTCACCTTGTTCTGTTTCAGATTTCTTAGAACTAATTCTGAATATTGTAACAGTTAATAATAAATCTAATTTTACCATATAGGAATTAAAAAAAAAATAAGTCCTCTCCCGAAAATAAGCTCTAGCTTGATTTTTATGCATGAACCTAATGTAAGCCCTACCCCCAAAATAAGCCCTAGTTTTGGAGCGAGGTGCATGTGTAAAAATCAAGCTAGGGTGGGGGTAGAGCTGCCTAATGCGCCCCGCACCAGCTTCCCTTAGGACCGCTGCAGCCAGGCCTTCCACGCCCCGACACCTGTCAAGCCACTGCCCAAGTTCTTCTGCTGCCGCCACTCGTGGTGCGAGGCTCGTTGCGCTAATCGCGCAATCGGCCTTGTGGCGTGAGTTGCTCAATGAGTCTTGTGGTGCAAGCAGCGGCAGCGAGATAAGCAGCACAAGTCTCGCAGTGCGAGCGGTGGCAACGGTACGATCGGTGGCAGTGGAGCAATATGCTACGTGATGTGCAGCTGCAAGCAGCCGCAGAAGAATTCAAGCAGCAGTGCAACAGGTGTTGGCTCCAGCGGTCCTAAGATAAGACATCTCCCGAAAATAAGATCTTCTGCCTCTTTTGGAGGCAAAAAAAGACTGGGTCTTATTTTCAGGGAAACACGGTACATATAAAAAAACAAATGAAATATTATATTGTAGGTAGAAGGCAAAAGTATTAAGTAAGATTCATAAATCTCATCATGAAAGATTCCTGAATGTGATATGCAAGTTAAATGAAAAGCAAAACTGACATTTGGTTTGTTCATTGTTTTCCAATCCAATGATGGAGGGCTACTGCTTTACCATTCAACCCAGTCTCTATAATAGTACTGTGATTATAATTTTGTTAACAACCCAGGAAGGCATCACAACTGTAACATACCTTAGAACTTTATAAAGTTGCAACAAAAAATAATGTAGGACTTTGGTCCTTATATATCAAGATACCCCTCCTTTCCCCCTCTTTTCCTTTAAATATACACAGATCACTTTTATTTTGCTATTTTGGTGTTATAATTGGCTTGAATATAATGACTTTAATTCCAACAAACCCTAGCATAGCTTCAGTAATTATTAGACTTAAGTTAGGATAATTTTACATTCTCATGGTGTTTTATAAATTCTAGTATTCCTTATGTCCTTTTGTAGCTATTTATACCATTTAGATTATTCATTGTAAAATGTAATTGTAATTTTATAGAATTGTTTTGTGTTTTAATACCTGTATCTTGTATTAGATATCTGTACCTTGCAATTTTACCTTAATTCTATCTTTATCTTTTGTTCTATCAACATGATTTTTATTTTTATTTCTATTTTAGTGTAATTCTTAGTTATATGCTAGTGTATGACGAAAATAAAAATTGATTATTTGAGTGAAATTTATGGTTAGATGAAGGATAATTGTAGGTAGTTCTAGGCTTTGTGGGTGAAATCTGGGATTGTAGGTGAAGTTGGCAATTCCCTACTATTTATGATATGCATAAAACAACTTTAAATATAAAATCAAACAAATTGATCTTTGCAGTTATTCCATTTATAAAATAAATGTACTTCTAGAAATGTTATCTACATAATACCTGTACAGAGAAAAGTAAAAATTACTATAATTTAGCACTGACATAGAGAACTTATATTTGTAGTGCCCACATCTTTATACTTACCAAAAAGCCTCCAGTTCTTTGATTTCTTACTAGAGTTAACCCTAGATTCATGTCCTTCTTTATCTCATTAACATTTGGTATGCTTGTAACAGCTAAAAAGAATAAATGAAAGCAAAACTGAGCAAAAGTATAACATGAAACTTGGACTATGAGTTGAACTGTGGAGCAAAAGTAGTACAGTGTTTCTCAACCCTGGCAACTTTAAGATGTCTGGACTTTAACTCCCAGAATTCCCAGGTCAGCTATGACATCTTAACTATATTTTGTATTCCATAACTTACTGTTATCTGGCCAAAAGGGAAGAGAGAATTAATTTACAATTTTCTAGTCTCTGGACACAGCTCCTTTGCTAAAGGAGAAGCCGTACGAGAGTCCTCCAGCAATTGCATGGATTGTGGGGAAGAAGGAAGTGCAGGCTTTCCCAGACCAATGCATAATGGTTTCATTCCCCAATTTACCAGAAGTTGCCTAGCAATCTATTGCTGACTGTGGTTTGGTGTAGCACCAGTAAGAATATGACCAACAGCTGGGCTTCTCAGACTCTGGTCACCCACTGGACAGTGAGATGTGGATGCTGAAAATAAAATTTATTTTATGAAGTAGCCATCAGAGAATGCCAATCACAATAAACTGATAACACAACTTACTCTGTAGGTCCATCTTTGAACATTTGGATCCCTGTTGATGAACAGCACATTTATAGATATCTCCCATTCTATTTTCACTCCAAGGTGAAGAAACAAGCAACCTGAAAAATGGATAAACTCTTATTAAATGTGCTGACATTAAAGGTTCAGTTTAAACGAAAAACTGAAAAGAACTCCTTTCTTAATGTGATACTAGCCTTTAAAAATCACATTTTTGGCTCTGTCAGAAGCCTTTTCCTACATGTTGCTCTCCAGTTGCATCTCTATCATTTGTTACCAATAGCCACTTTGAGTACAGATGACAATTATATTTGAAGGGTCTGAAAGGCAGTGTGTCGGGCAAGGATACCTGTAACTGACGTTAAAATAACTCGTCACTGGTGTGATCAAAGCTCTACCTATTTTCTATTTGTCTCACACATACAGATATCCGTCCTGTAGACACCCCTGCTAGAACATTTCTATAAAGTCTGCTTTTGAGTAAATTGCAATTAGCATATAATGTGCTAGAAGTAAATTATCAAATTCTATCAAACTTCTCTTTAAAAAAAAATCATTTATTATTGATGCATTTTTAAGAGCAAATTCTGAGACATTTCCAATATTATAGAGGGAGTGTTGGGGGAGGTTGTCACATGCATTTGCCAAAGAGATATTTAATGATAGAGTGAACTACTCCCTATTTGTAACTTGTTCCTAGAAAGCGTAATTTCTCCGTCATGGTGTTTCTCTTGTGGAACAGCCTCTCCCCAACATAAGGACAACTTTGACTACTGGTTTTCCAGAGGGCAATTCTTTTTAATAGATTTCTATAGATTGGTTGATGTTTTTATATTTGCTCACTCCCCCAAATTTCTGGGGAGAAGTTAGAAACCCAATAACTCTTCCCCCATCCTCTTTTCCACTCTTTTTAAAAAATTATTTTTGGGCATTTTAATTCTTGTTAAATGTGTGTTGCTTATCTTTCCCCCCCCTTTTATTCATGCGAGATATAGAAATACATACAACATACACACACACAGGTCCCTGGAAGGGACCTTGGGGTCTTTTAGTCCAACCCTCTGTCCAAAGCAGAAGTCTTTTTATCATCCCAGACAAATGGTTGTCCAATCTTTTCTTGAAAACGTCCAGCAATGGAGCACCCACAACTCAGGGAGGCAAGCTATTCCATTGATTAATCATTCTCACTGTCAAAATTTTTTCCCTTTTCCCAGGTTGGATCTCCCTCTGATGAACTTCCACCCATTGCTTCTTTTTCTGCCATCAGGTATTATGGAGAATAAATTGACCCCCTTTTCTCTGTGACAGCCTTTCAAGCACTGGAAGATGGGTATCACGTCTCCCCTGAGCTTTCTGTTCATTAGGCTAAACATACTTAGTCTTCTTAGCCATTCATCGTATGATTTAGCCTTCAGACATTCTTACTTTATACATCAACTTGTTTTTTTTTATGAATTGATTCTCTTCTTTACACAATACTGTGACTAAGCTATTGTGGCGAACAATTAATCAGCCTTCTGAAAGCCCTCCTCATGAATATTCTTGTTAAAGGTTGAAATTCTATGACTTCAAGGACTGTTTAACCATAAAACAGACTGTGGGAGGAAACAGATCTAAGTACAAAATGACTTGTGTAAGTCAGCCTATGACCTACTCTTCAAGAGTAAGTAAATGCCTAGTAGTGCATATCAAGTCCCACATAACCAAAGATATATGCATTTCAGAAAATTATATTTCAAGCTTTGTTGACACAAATACAGAACCTGGGAAATTGAAATGGAAATGTCTTAAGCTCATTGCTAATGAATTAATTCCTACTTAAGTACTTTGAAGCTCTTTTCCCAGATTTGTCCCTTCCTGGGTTGAGTTCCCAAGTTATTTATGCACAGCTATCTTTTCTCTTACCAGCCTGCCCACATTCCTCACAATGGAACAAATTGTTTTGAAGCCAGTCAATGTTTTAGTGTTCTCTCAATATGTCAATATGTCCAACCACATGAACATCTTTTATATTTAGTCAGTCACATTTTAATCCAACCCTTCAATTTTTCTTATTTCCACCTCATTCAGTTTATTTTTTGTTTCTTCTGTCATACTTAACTTTTATTTCCACATATAATATTGGACAGAAACATGGTCTTTTGCATTGCCCCATTTAATTTTTCAAACACTCTTTTACTTCTTGCTAAAGATTGAAGCCTGTCCGCAACCTTCCTGCCAGTTTCTCCGTCCATTTTCCTATCTTTAGTGAAGAACTTACTAAGGTAACCAAATTTATCTGCTTGTTGTAGTTTTTTAACCATGTGTTCCTAATCCTTTTATAGATGAACCATCAAGGGTACATCATATATCCTTATCTTATTCGTTGCTTAGTGTTAAATTATTCACTAAATATTCTATTTATTCTCATGCATACTTTTATTTGATTCATATACTGTTCTGCAACCCTTTTTCAACTCTATATTTGCACAAAAAATCCATAATTTAGGCCTAACAGCCATCATGTTTCCTGTAAATCAATAAAGGTACACTAATCTTTATTTCTTACGTTCACATATGACCTGTTGAAAAGGACAAATCTGATTGGCACATGTGCCTGGCATAAAGCCATACTGCCCTTCCCAAACTTGACTTAATGTCACCTTTTGTTAAATATCTTAAGCATACTTATCAAACTAAGCAACTCCATCAAGGAACCACATTCTATACTTTAACATTTATAGAACTTACACACTATCTACAGTTGCAACGTTACCATTTTCTCACAGCAAATAGAGGTAGTGCTCAACTTACAACCATTCATTTAGTCACCATTCGAAGTTACAATGGCACTGAAAAAAGTTACTTATGATCATTTTTCACACTTAGAATCTCCATGGTCACATGATCAAAATTCATATGCTTGGCAACTGGCTCATATTTATGACTGTTACAATGTCCCAGGATCATATGATCATGTTTTGCGACCTTCTGACAAGCAAAGTCAATGGGAAACGAGATTCACTTAATAACCATGTTACTAACTTAACAACCGCAGTGAGAATTTTAAAGAAAAAAGAATATATGTATCTTTAAATGGATATTGTAAAAACAAAAATGCCTTGTAAAGGCATAAAAATAGGAAGATGTATATTGAGGAGTGGCCTTGTAAACTAAAGGAATGGCTTTTTTCCTTATTTTTAACCTTCCGTATTAATTTCTTTGGATTACTTAATTCTTTTTCAAAATTTTCATAAGGTTGCTTACCCCAAAAAGGAATAGTAAGAATAGTATACATACTAATTTTATCTACAGCTTTTTGAAAAACAAGGAGAAAAATAAAGAAGAAAGCAAATTATCATTTCCTTAAGAAATAAAAAATCCTACACAGTGCAACAAATTTGATTCTTTCATCCTCTTCTTTATTGTATAGAAAGTACAGTAATGCTTACCATTTGCCTTTTTGGTTTGTAATCTGTTGAACTAAATATCCAAATTGTTCATTTCGGGAACCAGAAAACACTTTAGCTCCTTCAAGGCCAATATTATATGCTTCACAGCAATTTTCAAATATGTCTGTTAAGAAGAACAGAAATATTATCATAAAAAATCAAGACAGTGGTGCATTTCTTATCTTAATATCAGTTATAATCATTCATAATAATTTTATCATAATATCTAGGTATATTCTCTGTTTCCATGAATATATATTTCACTCGGCACAGGATTTGTGGACCAGGATTTGTAGAAAGAATTCCACATCTATATAAACCAAAGTTTGTTCATACATAGTTAATTTATGTAGCAGCTGATTACCTCCAAGCAAAACTAAAACCCAAAGAAGCCACTCTGTAACTTAGCATGTTCTGTGAACTAGCCAAGATCTCAGCTTCTACTGGATAGGTACCAACAGAATAAAACTCTGCCCTGCCCAAGGGAGCAGACACATTTACAAGTTCAGACCATTCAAATGCAAATTTGAAGAAGGGATCTCAGAATAACAAATGACTCAACGGTAAAAAAAAAAAAAAAGTAATGAAATAAAGTCACCTTTGAACTGAATTGTGGCAACCCACATGGTCATAGCCAGGCAATTTTCTTGGAAATGATAGCCAACTGTTTGATACTGCCTTCTTCTTCTAGTATGTTTTTTTTCTTAATTTCGCTGTCTAGCTACAATCCTGGATTTTCCCAGGGGGCATATCTTTTAAGTCCACTGATGTTTCCTATTGTTTTTGTTTTGATTTTAAGTTCAGGAAAAACTATGCATTAGCAATTAACCCAACAAAATATAATTGTTTATACTATTTGCTATCATTTTAGAGTTCATAGGAATAAAATAAAATATATCTAAAATCTTCTCTTGCTGATACCTAATGAATGAAGTGGTTTAGAATTCTGTACAAAGATAAACAGTGAAGAAAAAATTTACATCCTTCACTGTTGGGCTGAAAATATGTGGGAGTAAATTCAAGTAGACACAACAATTTATCCCTTTTCCCAGCAGCCTTCCTTGTGACAATCATAGCTATTTACCAATATTTTGTTAACTTTTCAGATCCAAGAACTCTATATAGGCAGAAACCTCTTTCTCATTTGCAGCGTCATAAGGACAGCTGTTCAAAAACTGCCATTTAAGTTTTTTAAAATCTGTGTTTCTGTAATTACCATGGAAGGCATGCACATTACCAACTAGTTTATATTTCAAAAACAAACAAATGTCCAACAATCAAGAATAACCTCATTAAAATCAGGAAACCTAATGCATGAGTGAGCATTTCTGAGCATGAAAGGCCACTATCTGTTGTAGAAAACAGAAACCTTTTCATCAGTCCCCAGGCTGTTTATAGATAACAGTTACTGGAACTACACAATTGTGTGTCATATTCCCAGGCAAATCAAGGTTATGGCATCTGTATGGCAGTCTAAACAGAAAATGCAAGTTCTTTGTGACTGGCTAAGGATGGATATCGTCTGAGGTTGAAATGCTTGTTTGCTACTACAAATGAGAGTAGTCCAGAATGGTATTATTTTACTACACTGTGAAAGTTTTGTTTTGTCATTATTGTACAAGTAACATTTAAGAACCACAGCTTACCATTCACTTGTAAATTACAGATCAATTCTTGATATTATATAGTTGAAATAATATTGAAGTTTCTTATAGTTATGTATTAGTTTTCACCATAAAGTAATAGCATTAGAAGACTTTCTGCTGACACTAGAGGGTATTATTATTACTTTAACAGACGACTAAAGTCTCTGTTTCAGCTGTAACTGTGCTGTCCTATAGCAGTCGCTTCTTTACTGACAATGTCACTTCATTCTTCACTGGCATTTCAACAACTGAAGCTGTAAGAAGCAACATCAGTCCAGACCACAAATGTGTTATGCTGGACTTCTGCCTGACCACTTCCTATATTAAATACAATAAAGGTTTCTCCAGACAAAATCATGGCTGTGCCACAGGTTTACCCTACTGTGGCCAATCTCTACATGGAAGAAGTAGAAACAAAAGCCCTAAACTCCTTCACAGGAATTCCACCCACTCAGTGGTATAAGTATGTGGATAATACTTGGGTCAAGATTAAAATACAGGAAGTAGAAGTCTTCACCACGTAAAACTCTGTGGCTAGATACATTAAGTACACATGGGAAGATGTTAAAGAAAACAGTCTGGCGTTCCTGTACTGTGCAGTGAAGATTAAAGAAGACAGAAGCCTTAACACTGAAGTTTACAGCACCCCCCCCCCGCACCCAAAGATCAGTGTTTACATTTTGATTCTCACCATCCATTGGTGCACAAAATGGATGTGATCAGAACTCTAAAATACCAGGCTGAAAGTTTGCTTACCAGTAAAGAGGGGGAAGAAGAAGAACTAAAACACATCAAGAACTTGTGGCTATCCTAACTTCATCAAATTCACCCCGCCAAGAAAAGACCCAGCAGAAGCTCCTCCATAACAGACAAAGAGAACAACAAACGAAGCAATGTTGTCATTCCATATGTTACAAAAATATATGAAAAGCTCAGGAGGATTTTCAAACAACACAACATACATACACACTTTAAACCCAAGAATACATTAAGGCAGAAGCTTGTCCATCCCAGGGACAAACATCCAGACAGAAACTGAGCAATACGTATTTGCGATGCAATGCAGTGAGACACTCCAGTGCAGGTCTGTGCATTGGAGAAACGAAACAACTACTTCACCAACACATGGCCCCACATAAGAGAACAAACCCATTAGAATAAGATTCAGCAGTCCATCTGCATCTGGAGACAAAATAGTCTACATTCTGGGCAGAGAGGACCACTAGCTTGAAAAGGAGGTCAAAGAGGCCATCTATATTAAAACTGAACAGCCTCACTCAACAGAAGAAGAGGGATACAACACCAGCTATCTCCTGTCTGCAATACAATCCAGCAGTACCAAGAAGGTTCCACATCCATCTGCACTCTGATTCAGAAGAACCTGAGGATAGAGATAAACCTCTAAGTGGTCTCAATGACTCTCACTGCGAAGAATATAAATCCTTCCATTCCCTACTATTCAGCCAGAACTGAAAAGGGGCATGAGAAGTAAAACAGTTTCAAAGAAAAAAACAAAAAAGTCTAGTTGCCTTTTGAATAGCACTGTTGGGATAGCATTTTTTGGGACAGATTGAGCAAAGTGATGGAGACAGACCCCAAATTACCCAGTGTGCTGTGCGGTTAACAAAAGTTTTGAATTCCAGTTCCAATCCAAGATTGCTGCTACTGTAGATGCATAAATTATGTCAGTTTCATCACTATATTATGAAAATAAACACATGAACAAGAATCCCTTCTATACTTCTTGAAGTTATTTAAAATTAGGATCTGGTGACAGCATATCTGTCAAATAAAGGACAGGTGAAAATGATCTAAACTGCAATATGTAAAGTAATCCTTTCAAACCAATTGAAGTTTGAGGCCTGCTCTCTTTCTCACTAATTTTGGCATAATTTTCTATATGAAGTAATCCCCAAAATGTCCACTTTCTACAAGTCCCTTGTAAATTCTCAAATGTGCTTAATGGAAATGGCAATTAGAATACGTACATCATTTCTTTTGTCATTTATGGACAGGCTAGGATTCAAGGCTGGGTAAAACTTTGAACAGTGGTTCATTACCATATGATGAAGTTTTGCCTGGAATAGCTTTCAAAGCTATTTTGTGAATCAATATAGACCTTTTTCCTAAACAGTAATTCCATGTTCATTCTACATCATTTCTGGGGCCTCCTTTGCCACTACTGAGAGAGCTGGAATAGGCCCTAGGAGTGACCTAAAAGGTCTTGTCAAGGTCCTTTATTGTCAGTTGCTGCATCTTGATGCTGCAAAAGAATTTTCTCCAAAGTCTGTCTGCTGTGCATGGGCCCAAAAGCAGTACTTTTTTTCTTAAAAAAAAAAAAAAAAAAAAAAAAGGTGCCGGAACTCACAAACATCATACAACCTGCCTTGCCTACCCTACAAGGTTCCATCCAAAAAAGGTGCCGGAACTCCGTTCTGGGTGTTCTATGAGAAAAAAAGCCCTGCCCAAAAGAATATTCCACTTTATACTTTTAAATTAAACTGCAGTATGCAGGAAAATGTATTCAAATATGGAATAAATCTGTCTTAATCTGTGAATTTATAACAATTAACAATTTCTCCTTGTTAACTGTGCATTTACATAGCACTGTTAGGAGAAATTTGTGAATTTCAAGGTAATTTAGAAATAAAAATAAAATAGTAAAATAAAGCTAATAATTACAACTTTTTAATGAAATGTTTCTTGTGAATCGCTGTGGCAAGAGTTATACTTCTCATAAATTATAACTGTATCTGATTACATAGTCAAATACACCCATTCAGCCATAAGCAAGATGTGTAAGCAGGTTAGGGTTAGGGTTGGAAAGGAATGGAATAAATGAATGAACAAAGGAATGAAAGAATAGCTAGATGGCAGGCTATAATCTTGAACAAAAGAAATATTTCACAGGGCAACATTTTCAGGCATATCTCAGTTGTATTTTATGATTCGCCTCTCCTGTAATTTAAACAAATAAAACAGTTCATCTTGTTGCAAATTTAGAAGCAGGACAATATATAAATGAAGTTTTTGGAAATGATTTTTTTAGAAAACTCAATGGCTTATTTTGCAAACACTTAAACTTGACAGTTGTAATACTGTAGTGTAAGTGTCAAGTTTTCTAATGTAAATAAGCCCAAAAGCCCAAAATATCTGTCAGTTTCTTCAGACCCTGTAATTAAGAACTTGAGCTTGAATATGGAAAATGAACACTTCTGGCAGGATGCTTTATTCTCTGGAAAGATCAAGTCTCCAGAGAGAAAATTATGTGACAATAATGTTCCCATTGAGAATATAATCCTACCCCAATAAAAAAAACAATTAGCTTAATGTATACAACTTATAATGACCTTTGAATTTATTTCTTTGTTTTATGCTGTATGTTTCTATTCACATACTCATTTGGGTAAACAGCAGAATAAAACTAAGTCAATATTAATAAAATAATAGGGATGAATAAGAAGTAACAGAAGTAGGA